GTTTCAAGAAAATTCTCCCAAGAATTTTGAAAATTTAGACTCAAAGGTTCACGCGACGACGACTCAGGCAGCAGCAATGATAGATTTGGATGGTTCTACGACGACAATACGTTGATGCAATGTAATAAATAAAAACGGGCCGCGACGTTCACGGACGGTGGAACGAGCTGAACTACTGCTCATCCACCTCCATGGCAGTCTCACCCGCGGCGACGGAGCCCTCGTCCTCGACGTTCTCGTCGTCGACGTTCTCGTCGTCGACTTTCCCGTCGTCGGCGTTCTCGTCGCCGGCAGACCCGTCTTCTTCACCCTCCGCGTCTTCACCCGAATCGGCCTTGGTGGACTCGGCCGAGGTCTCGCTGTAGTTGTCGGAAAAATCCAAGACCTGCAAAACGGCTTGGGACGACGACGCAACAGGAGGCGGCGATGGCGAAGGCTGGGGCGACGAGGAGGGCGCACGGGTGCGACTACTCGCCAAGTGCGCGACGTCGATCTCGTGGTCCTCGAGGGGCTGGAAGGCTTGATCCTGGATGGTCGCGGGGTCCGACTTGTCGAATTCCTGGGCCTTCTCGATCTCCCTCTGGAACTGCTTCTCCATCTTTTCCATCTCGCGATAGAAAAATGGATCGAAAAAGGCAGGAGGCGCCGCGAACCGCTCGTTCGCCTCGCCATCCAACAAGTCCCCGTGGGCCAAGATCATCCGAACACCCTTGCGGATGTCGGCCATCTCGGCGGCGTCGATCTCGGTCGCGGTGTGGACGAACATCGCCTTGATGCGTTCGTCCGAGCCGTCGTCGAAGTGCTCCTTCAGCTGACCAACGAAATCACGGAACTGGCCAATGGCCAGGACGCGGATCTCGTTGGCCGTGCGAAGAAGCCCGCCGTACGCGTCCAAGGTGTCGGCGAGACGGTTGGCGGACTTGTTGAGATCTGAAGACGTCGTCAGAAACGATCAAAAATAGAAATGAATGGCAAGAGTGGACTCTTACCGTCCGCGCTCATCTGCGCGATGTACCCGAAGCGTTGCCCCATATACAGCTGCTCCGCGGGCTTGTAGCCGTTGGTGCAAGTCTGTTTATAGAGCACGCACGGGGCGCACCGATTGCCGTGGCGCCCGTCGACGCTCTTGAAGCAGACGCGCTGCCGCGTCACGCACATCGCGCAGGGCCTTGGCGCGACCTCCTATGAAAAGGGGATCAGTCGTCGAGGCATGGAAGAAAAAGATAAAGAAACGCACGAAGTCGGTTGGCACCTCGATACCGGCCCTTTCCAACTTCCCCGCGAACCCTTGGCGTGCCACCGAAAGGAGCGCCTCGGTGTCGTAGGCGGCGGGAGTGAACGGAGCTCGGGGCGTGGGGGCCGACGCCTTCGCAGGAGTCTAGAAACAGTCAAGTCAGTAAAAAGTCGACGACCAGAAAAAGTCGCGACTCACCGAGTCAGATTTCTTCTTGGCCGCCGCAACGGACTTTTCTGCCTTCTGAGCCTTGAGCTCGGCCTTGGCCGCCGCAACACTCCGCTCGCGACCAAGGGTCGCGGCCACCCTGCCCAACTCACTGCGCGGAGTCTTGGTAGTGGCGGGGGCCGCCTGGGCAACCTAGAAAAGAAAGAAAAACGAGTTAGTCGACGTCTGGGAATCAAGTCTGTGTCTCACCTTAGCCACTGGGGTCGGGGTAGTCGTCGCTCGCGGGGCGCTCGCCTTGCGACTGGCCTCCACCTTCGGCACCGGATGGGGAGGCACGGATTTGGTCGACTTGGATGATCCATCCGCGACCTTCTTGATTGGCTAAAGAGCTGGATTAAGGGGCGTGGTCTGGGAAAAAGGAGCCGGCTCACCTTGGGCTTGACGCGGGTCTCGCTGACCTGCTTCTTGGCCACGACGAAATCGCCGGTCTCCTCTCCGCTCTCGGAGGTGTCGTCCATGACGATGACGGACGGGGCTACGAAAGAATGAGTAAACGACAGAGGGGGACAAGAGGAAAACGTACTCAGATTCGATCGCGCTTTCCCCTTGGACTTGGGCCCCTGTCAAAAACAAACCAACCATGAGACAAAGAATCGCGGTCGACGAACTGGGTCACTTACCTGAAGGACCAGCTCGTCGGCCGATGACGCGTCTCCCTCCTGGACCCCCTCGTCGTCGACATCCATCGCAGTGTCGGCGACGGCGGCGGCTTCCTCATCGCTGAGGGACTCGGGTTGCACGGGCTGTGCTTGGATCCGGGCTGGGAGGGACCAAGTGGTTAGTCTAAAGATCAATGAAATAAGACATAGGATCACACACCTGCGTGCGTCTTCTTGTGGACGCGCTTGGGAGGTGACTCCTGTGGAATAGGGGCCGAGGTAGCGGCTACGACAAGTCAGTACCCGCGACTCTGGTGAATGAAAGGAAAGAGCCACTTACGAGTAGGCGCGTGGGACGACGCCTTGGGCTCCTTCGCAGGAGTCGCCTTGGGTCGCTTCCCCTGCGACTTCTCGCTCGACTTCTTGGCGACGGCGACCTTGCTGCCCGCGACGGCGGCAGGGGCCTGCGGCTTGGAGCCGTCATCCTTCCCCTTCTGCTTGGCAGGCCGGGACGACGAAGGGGCGGCGACTTGTTCGGTTGGAGCCGCCTGGGGGTCGATCAGAACATAGTGAACGAATGAAACAGATTACACGTACGGGTTCGACGACTCGTTTGCGTTTCTTGGGCGGCGACGACTCCTCGACTGGAGCGTTGGTGGTCAAGGGCGTAGACGCCGGCTAGTCCTTACGTGAGTGAAAAGAAGGAAGGCCAAAGCGAACAGGCGCGGCAATCATTGATCGCCGTGACTGCTCGCTCCAGCGGGCTTAGAACGGAGCTCACCTGTTGGATCTGGCGGACGTCGACGGCCATCTGCCGCAACATCTGGTTGTAAGCCTCGGGGCTAGGCAGGTGGTGAGTTGAGTCGACAAGCCATGGGAGAGACCTTGACGGACGGCATGAACTGCCGCCAGTCGATGGCAGGCAGGTTTGCTCCCGGGACAGCTGATTCGGTGACGGCTGATGGACGGTTAGCGTGGTTGAAAAGTCGCGGTAATCGTCCTGGGCGTCACTCACGGTTGTTGTCTTGGAGGCGGGGGCTCTGGTCGGGCGCGGACATGGTGGTCGAAAAGCAAGAGTGTCTCGTACTAGGGAGACTCTCGACCCTGAAAATTGAGGGCATTTATATGGTGAACATGCCGGAAGAAGTTTGATCGCGGCAGATCACGAAAGGAACCGAACAACCAAATGAATAAGACGTGGGAACATAACTCTATGTCTCCGCGGCTTTAATAATAAATAAACGAGACGTCGACTGTTGGACTTAGACCTGACGCAGTGAGACTGTCGCGGGATTGACCAGGAGGTCAAAATTAGTGTTCCTGGGAGATGATAGGCTGGCTACCAGACGCGCTCTGCACCAGCTCTGTAAGGGCGTATTTTTGCGCTTTTTACAGAGTTTACTCTTGAACCACTCGGTGTATCGTGTCGCGGTTAACAGTGTTGCGCTCAGTAGGACTTATGGGTCTACTGCCCAGTCGACGACTGTGGATAGTGTCGACGATAGCAAGGCAGTCAGACCACTACTGTGGAACTGGTCTTATGAGTCTACACCAGGCTCAGGGCCATTAGTGACGAACGCTGGGACCGCGACCATTCCCCAAAAAGGGATATGTCGTTGCGTCGACTTCTCAATAAGGGTCATTCTCTGCAGATGGGAACTTGGGCTGAAGGGCTGAGCAATGCGCGACGTTCTCAATAATAGAACTACTACTGGACAGGACTTGGCGTTACAAGACTTAAACCATCTTGTCGCGGCAACTCCCGGTTTTGAGTTGGACGTTTTCCTCAGATCATGCCACGACGACGACTTGTCACATGTCAGGATCCATTCGATCACGGGACATTGTGGACGCGTCGCGGCGACACTTCCAAGTGTCACGGCGAGTCGCGCCCATATTCAAACACACTAAAATCGATACGGCTAGATCCGTGAACCGAGCCATGTGGGAGGCGACTGGCGTGCCTAGAGCCATACGGCTTCTTGGGGCGCCCACGTTGGTCTCACATGCCAAGACATACCCGTTGGCCAATCCAGCACGTCGTATTCCAAAAGTATGACGCGGTGGGTTGACCCACATCAAAAGTATCATATGGACTATGGGGCGGGGTCCTGATCACTCAGGACCTGTCCGATCGTTCAACTTTTCAATTACCCTAAAAGGCAACCGATCTTAGATAGCGTAGCTACTATGCAGTTGTACAGGACTTTACTAAGCAGCGTCGTAGACAGTATAAGTAGCACGTCGTCTCTTTGTATTAGGAAGCTTTTCCCGGACTGTGAATCACTCTCATTTCAGATTGTTTTGTACAATTTGCGTGCCGCGTGATTCCACCCTAAGAAGTTCTGCTACCCCTGCCCGGTCGCGACGAGTTGCTCCCTGAGCACTTGTAGCTACTGTGATTTGAGTTTTGAGTTTTGAGACATCAGAAAGTCGGATTCGCCGCATCTGGTTTAGTCGCGGCATTTAGTGTCGTCGCCTTCGGGCTTTGTTGAGATCGTTCCACACCTCTAGCTTGGCAGTGCGTCGACTAGTTGTGCTCGGGTTGTTTTGGTCAGTTGGCAGTGCGTCGACTTGAGAACTTTGGTTCCACACTTCTTGCTTGGCAGTGCGTCGACAAGTTGTGCTCGGGTTTTGGACATTGGATATTGGCTGTTAGTTGGCAGTGCGTCGACGCGGCATTTCGGTTTACTAGTTGGCAGTGCGTCGACTCAGTACTTTTGGTTGTGTCAGTTGACAGTGCGTCGACTCGACATTTTGGTTTACTAGTTGGCAGTGCGTCGACTCAGTATATTGGTTGTATCGGTTGGCAGTGCGTCGACTTGATATTTGGGCTTTGCGTCACCATCTAGACGCTGTCGCTACAAGGGATCTTAATACTTCGTATTAAGCTCTGACTTGTTATATTGTTGTTGTGGATTGGATTAGTGTTGGTTGTGATCGTATAGAAGATATTGGTTGAGACACCATTGTTTGCTATATATAAATTCTTGTCGTCGACTTCGTCTCCGCGACTATTGGATCTGCGTCTATTGAGAGTTGTGATACTGGTGCTCTGTCCACCCCGAAGCCCTCGCATCTTTCACACACTGAGAAGCTGATTACGAGGAGTGTGAACGTGTTTTATATTTGGGTTTACTTTCATAGTAGATTCACTTGTGAGCACGCCCTCAGCATTTCACCGTGTCGAGCTCGTAAGAGCTAACTGTGCCACGCATCCCACGCTGTAGCTTCGTCGGATCTCGACCGCCAACGCGAGGGTGGAGCTTGAAAACGAACACGCGAGGGTAGACAAGGGCGATTAAGAGTTGTTCAGGAAAGGTGAGCTTTTGCAATTGCCACGGGACAGGACCGAGCCACAGATTGTTAGCAAGGGCAAACTTTGGTGGCCTGTTGTCGTTGGCGACCAGGGAGCAGTAACAATGCGCGCAAACGTGCACGAATGCCTCTTCTCCACGCTGCAGAACGCCCGCCGGATCAAGGAGCATGCCATGGTAGAGGTCGTGCGCTGGGTGTGGACTGGCAGGTGCAAGACAGTGTGGATTAGGGAGTGTTTGAAGTCGTCGTGGCGTTGCTTCTTCCTTGTCGTTGATATCAATCTCACGACCACACACAGCGCACACCATGGTCGCTACACCTTTGTTGGACGTCGCTAAATAGAATCGACGGTACAAGAGTCTGCGCCGATCTTCGTCTGGCAAGGCCATGAACTGGGAGATATCCTTTTTTTCAATGCTGCCACCAATGCCTGCTGGAAGTGCCTGAATCTCCGTTGCACGCATTCTGGCATGCCGCGCCAGGTCTTCACGTTCCTCGCGCTTGCGTTTCAAGCTCCTCAAATTGGCGGCGCCTCGCTCTGCAAGAATGTTTGCAGCGGCTGCGTGAATGTCACGCAATCGAACTGGGGGCACATTCGATTCGATGAAGGCAACGAGTTCAGCCTTGCATCGTGGGAACCGAGTTGGATTATCGATGCCTTCCTGTGCAAGTGATAGGATCTGGGGCACAGTGAGGTGCGCGAGCGGAGATACGGGGCCAACGTCGGTGTGTGCCGCCATGAGTGCTGACAATGGCGTTGAACGCCCCTGTTGTCTCATTCAATGTCTGGGACGATCGGCGACAAACAAATGATCGATTCGGGTTCCGCCCGCCTTTCTTCCCTACCACCACCATGCTCACTGTGACCCCTAGCTTTGAAGATTCAGCTTTCTATCTTGGGCGACCAGACGAGGTCCTCGAGAACGTTACTTGGAAGCGCTACAGCGACAGAAACTTGCTGATTATAAAGACATCTGCTGCGTACGCTGATGTCTCACCCGAAGCCCCTGTCAGCAGCGACAACGAGGACGATAGCGCCGACCTGGACGCAGAACCGGCGAATCTCAACTGTGTGGTCACCATCGGCCACGACGGTTGCTGGATGACGCCTTGTGGCAATTGGCCGATTGGAAGCACATACGCAAAGGAACTGGCAGCAATAAGACTCAACTGCCAGGCGCTGGCCCCGCAAGACTCGAAGTACGCGACCCATTACACACGGACTGTCGACGCGCTGCGCCGCATCGTGGACCTCATCAAGACGCCGGGGTATACGCAGAAAGGGTTCATGAGCCAAGGGTCAGGTGGATTCAAATTGCGCCACATTCCCTTTGAGGTGCGTCCGGTCATAGTTGATACGTTCGAAGTTAGCCGGTGCTAACACGTTAACAGCAAGTGAAGCCCGGCGAGCAACTGGTAGAAGGATGTAAGAAGAACGCTGTGGCTCGGTGTTGGTTTTAATGGGGTTATACAGCGCACGATCTGGAAATTTGGCCGGCGCGTCAACCCGAAGCTCGAAATGCCATTCGGTTGATGCTCAAGGAAGGCTCGCACGTCGTGCATGGAATACGAGCGTATGACCGAGATGGCAGGCTCATCGCACCGGAAGACTACATGTCTAAGCTGCGCGGTGCGACCGTGATGTTGACGATGAACCTGTCTCACATCGCCTTTCAATCGAAGAAGGAGGATTTGGTGTCTGCCGATATTGTCAAGATGCGCATCATAGCTAACCAGTCTACTGCTCCGAGCCCTTTGAAGCGTGGAAAGCTGGCACTGCATGACAGCGAAGATGAAGAAGAGCAGAGCCCGACTAAGAAGAAGCGCTCTGTTTATGGTGCCTGATATGTATTCGTCTGCTGGTGCCTCATATGTATTCGTCTACCGCCTGAGTCGTTCGAGAATGAATGTGATTGTTCCTGTCCCAGACGCAAGGCATGTCTGCCGACGCAGTCGGCGCTTCCTAGTAGAGAGTGTTCGACTTGATCGAGATCAGTGATGGACGCAATCTATCAGTTGACTGCCGAGCCGACACTACGCTGTCAAACATCTGACTGTTCTGAGCTCTCAAACACTCTTTGCGTGGAATCACTTAGTGGAGGATATGAACCGTCCTATAGTATCCTACGACGACATAACGCTTCCTTACGAATCCTCCTCGTTTGACGCGTCTCAATCTCCTACGAACGGCAACTCTTCCAGACACTCAAACGGCAACACGAACTCCAAAAAGCGGAAATGGGGTGGACAGAATAATAACAATCGCGGTCACTCTAATGCCAGGGGAAAAACTTATCAGAATCCCACAAAGTCTCAAGACCTCGAGGAAGACGAGGACAGTCGGTTTCTGACGCAGGAGGAGGCATGGGACGATTCAGCTCTCATTGATGCATGGAACGCAGCGAACGAGGAGTATGAAGCGCTCAATGGGCCAAGCAAGGGATGGAAGAACGAGCCCATCTGCAAATCCTCCCTGTGCGTTCGTCTAGTGAGACTCAGCGTTGGCCCTCACTTTCTCTACAGATGGTACAACACCCCACCGTCGGAACCAGCGAAGAAACGACCCAAAACAGAGTCCGACATTGTACCTGAGCTAACCAATGGTGGTGATGGCGAGACCGACTCTACTCCGATCGATTTCTCCTCCTTCGTACCGAATCATGATGCGTCACTTGCCGCTCCTCAAGAGGGTGAGACGGCGCCCGGCCCAGTTCCCCTCGCGTCCGCTGCCTACATGCCCGTTCCTACGGACATGACCTCCCAAATTGATCCCCGTTTGGTCTCGCAGGATGACGCGTTCTCGCGTGCTCTGAGTGCCATGTATTGGGGAGGATACTGGACCGCCGTCTACCAGGTATGCAATGCAATTTCGTGTGCAATACTTGGCCCGTTGAACTTACTTTACCTCCCAGTGTCACCGTAGTACAGCGTCGGACGCACGGGTCTTTCCTAGCGTAGGCGGTGATGAAGGTGTCGAGGATGAGGACGACAGCGACAGCGATGAAAGCGAAGATGAGGTCGACCAAGGGTTTGTTTCAACTCAACGGTGATCTGAAGCAGAGTCCAGGAGATGTGAGTAGCCGCGTAAGTATATTGCTATTGCTTCAGAGGGCCTGTTGGACGTGTTCCCTGCTTGATATGTAACCCTGGATACTCACAATATTCGGCCGATAAAGTGAGCTCGCCGACACCACCAGCGTTCTATGACTTACTCATTATGGGAATGAAAAATAATTACATCCGAAGCCCTGCGATGATCCAGTCTGATTTCAGTGTTGGTCGTACGAGGAATTGGCGGTGCTAGATTTCGTCTACACTTCTTGAACTCAAGCAGGACAAGATCAAAGAAGATATGCGAAAGATTAAATGGGGCAATCTTTATACAACTTGGTTCCTAGGCTTCGATGTTCGTCCCCGTTACGTGATCACATTTGCATCCCAAAGAGAGAAGATATCATGATTGCTTGCAGGTCGAGACCAGCAACACTTGCATAGAATCGCATAGCAGCATAGCATACAACAATGGTACCGTGAACTTAGATCGTGGTCTCGTATGCGACGGGAACCATTGTCTGCGGTGTGTTGGAGGCGGTGGCGCTGGCGACGGTGTAGGCCTCACGGGGCAGGGCAGGGATGCGTTTTAGGTTGATCCGCTCTGTGTAAGTCATCAGTAACACAGAACAAGGGGTGTGGTAGGGGCCAGGGTTTTCTGTTGCAGACAACACCAGGCCCAGGCCCAGCGACGATTAAACGATGAATCTACTCACCGCCCTTCTCCTTAGCCTCAACATGCGCCTCATGGTTCCGCTTCACACGATCCAAGAATTCCTGTCGGCACTTCGAGTGACGGATGTGCTCAACACGGAGGTTCACACGCTTCTCAATGTAGCGGTTGCCGACGACCTTGTACACAATGACACCAACAGCAGAGGGTGTGACGTTGTAGACAATCCCAGTGCGGCTAGAGATTATCATTAGGTCAAGATCAATCGGCGAGGAAGTATTGGAACGCACCCGTGGTAGTACTTGTGGGGCATACCCTTTTGCTGAGCGGCATTAGCCTTGATGTCGACAATGTCACCGATGTGGTAGTTGATGAGGAAAGTCGACAATTTTACGGGACCATGCTCTACAGGTTGCCGGTCAATCTAGTGTCTTCCTTTTCAAAATCAGCAGAGACAGACCCTTGAAGCCCCGCTTGAACATGTGGCGCGTGCGCGCCCGGTAACCGAAGGAGTGCGGCATCTTGAGGAGGTCGTCGAGCGGAGGGACGAAGGGGGAAAATTACTTGCGGACTGAGGGGACTGTCGTCACGAGCGTGACGTGGTCTCGTGATGTGCAGCTGCCTAGCTGCACGGAATGTGCACGTGCAGCCAGGTCTCTGAAGGTCTGATCTTTTTCCTCCGTAACCTCCTCAAGACCGCGCCGCCTTCGCGTCAAGAATGCCCAGGTAATACCTCTGTTCCATGATGGATGCGAATCTGAAAACGCTCTTAGGGCCCCGAGAAACCACTCCAAAACGTGAGAATTAATTCCTCAAGATCCACTGATGTGGAGGGATGTCGTGCTAAAAGCCGTTGCCCCATAGCTACAAGGTCTCCCGCCGACCTTTCGAGTCTGCGCGTCTCGACACTGAGCTCAAGGTGCGCACACATTAGCCCTGTTTGTTCTGCTCTGATTACCCGATTCCTCACAGCTCGCTGGCGAGTACGGACTTCGCAACAAGCGCGAGATTGCTCGTATCGCCCTGATTCTGTCCAAGATCCGTCGTGCTGCCCGTGAGCTGCTCAAGCTCGACCCGAAGGACCCTAAGCGTCTGTTCGAGGGCAATGCCCTTATTCGTCGGTTGGTGCGGATCGGTGTGCTTGATGAAACTCGCATGCGTCTCGATTACGTGTTGGCTTTGAAAATCGAAGATTTCTTGGAGCGTCGTCTTCAGACCCAAGTCTTCAAGAGTGGGCTTGCCAAGAGCATCCACCACGCTCGTGTCCTCATCCGCCAGCGTCACATTCGGTACGCATCTATTGTTCCTCCCTATCGGATGCTGAATGATGTTCTTTTTCTCCAGTGTCGGTCGTCAGATCGTCAACGTGCCCTCTTTCGTCGTCCGCCTCGACTCCCAGAAGCACATCGACTTCGCACTGACGTCACCGTATGGTGGAGGACGCCCTGGTCGTGTTAAGCGCAAGCGGGCTGCTGCTGCTGCCAAGAAGGAGGAAGGCGGTGATGAAGAGGACGAGGAGTAGACGTTGCGTTACGTTGAAAACGATTGCTGCGTCGCATTATGTTATGTACCCATGCCCCAATCGATGCATATGGTCTGCCCTCATTCGTCTTATCCGCTCACCCGTCAGGGCCACATACCCACAATGACATTCTACGATATCCTCCTGGCCACGTCTGGCTAACTGGAGACTGCTATCAACAGACTGAGGCGTCACTGAGTTAACTGGTACCAACTTATTCACAGTGAACATTGGCAACTCAGTATAGAATACCCATCTCAGTTTGTAGTATGACGATTGACGTCCCTGCACCGCCATCATACACCTTATCCTCAGTCCACAGCACAGTGCCTGTCCAGTGTCCAAGGGCTACTAATCTGAACTTGACCTAACTCACTTGACGCTCGTTCATTTTCTCTACGAAATGGCGTCCGGTCTTCGAAGTCCTCGTCTAGTGGGGACTCTACCGCCCAAGCGTCGTCCAACTATACACACCTTCACTTCGACAGTGCCAGCCCCTCGGTATTATAGTCATCCTCTCGTCCTTCGTCACTCTTAGCTAAGGTTTTGAGCTAGAGAGGGCATGATTGATTGCACGGCGGGGAAGTATGAACATTTTCGGAAGAGCCGATCAGAACTCAAAGCCATGAAGAAGAATTTGCGTGCTTTCTACGAGCGTCAGAGTACAACGCTTTCCCGGCAGAAATGCCTGAGTCTGAACCCTTCCCAGACGAGTTGCTCGACGGTTTTGAAGAAGTGGAAACTGTACTAACTTCCAATCTGCCTGACCAAGTTTATGGGACGCTCGCTCATCAAAACATCTTGAATGCCCAAACGGTGCATTCGCCTACGGGAGAAAACGAAGACGACCGGTTCGCAAACGCTGAAACGCAGCCGTTGCTGAAACAGAGGGAAGAATCCAGAGGCCACAAACAAGAAAGATTAGATAAGATCGCCCTCAACGGTTCGTGTTCGGCCTGGTGATCTGGGTCATACGTCGAGCTCAAATGATGTCTCAATGCAGTGAACATCATTGTCAACATCCTCCTTCTCGCTCTGAAAGGCGCTGCAGTTGCGCTGTCCAGTTCTGTGTCACTGCTCGCTTCTTTCGTGGACTCGGCTTTGGACTTTCTTTCAACGCTGATCATCTGGGCTGCCGACGTCGCAGCCAAGCGGGAGGACCCGGGCTCCAAATACCCCACTGGAAAGAAACGCTTTGAGCCTCTGGGAGTGCTCGTGTTCTCCGTTTGCATGATCGCCTCTTTCACTCAAGTTTTGGTTGAGTCCCTGAGAAAACTTTTCGGGGAGCAGACCGAGGAAGTAGGAACGCTGTCCTTGTTTGGAAAGATGTTAGTCCTTTTTTCTTTGTCTCAGTTTCCGCTGACAGGACTCCTCTATCAAACAACAGAACTATGGGCGTCACAATTGCTGTAAAGCTTGTGATATGGGCATGGTGTGCCCGCTTTAGATCTTCTGGAATCCAAGCCCTAGCGCAGGTGTGGGTCTCCTTGTCTCTCGCTCTTGATTCTGTGCTAACCGGTGTGCAAAGGATGCGAAAAACGATGTATTCTTCAACGTCTTTTCTTTAATCATCCCATGGGTCGGAGAGTTGCTGTCTATCAAACAATTGGACCCCCTGGGTGGTGTATTGCTCTCTATATACAGTGAGGAATTTTGCAAGTGTCGCCAAATCAAGTTAATCTTTCTGCAGTCATCGTCGAATGGGTCGAGACACTGCTCGAAAACTTTGTCAAGTTGTCTGGTCGCATGGCCAGTAGCGAACACAACTTTCGTGTACTGTATCTCATCTCCAGGTTCAAGCCCGTATTGAATGTTTCGTATCTGGAAATCTAGTGAGTGATTCACCTTGAATGCTCTCTGGTTTACAAACGCTGGCAACAGCCACGTTGGAGACGAGTTGATTGTGGAGGTTGATGTTGTGTAAGCAACATCTCGAGAACAGCTTAGTGTTGTTAATCCAAAGTTCTTTGTTAGGCTACCCAAAGACACTCCACTGCCATATGCCCACGACGTCGGCGAAACAATCCAAGCATCGATTGAGGCACTGGATCTCGTCTCGCGGGCCTAGTGAGTTGAGGCCTTGCTACGTAATCTTTTTTGCCTCATGATCCGATGTTTCAGCGTTCATCTAGACTACGATTCCAACAACCCCGCGCAGCACGCCGTTATTTGAGACGTTCGCGGCAAGAGTATCTTGGGTCACGCAGCCACACTCTTCATTGCGGCAGTCGTAACAAGAATACTGTCGATCGCCGCGTGCTCTTGTTCAGGGCCCTGGGAGTCTCTGATAGCAGCTTCGTTACTCAGCTTATGATACTGTGCACACACGGGTCATTGTCTGAGCTCAACGCATGAGAGCACGCACCTTCTTGACAGCAGCCCAGTCAGTGACCGCATCCAGCTGATCGAACGACACCCGATTTCCCTGCACGACCCCATCCATGGCTTTCCCCACAGAGTCGGATGAGAATTCTGGCCCAGAAACACGGACCACCACCAGCGCGCTGGACTTGTCGCCCACCCCATATCGGCGCATCGCCTCGGTGATCTGAATGTCACTTCACTAAACGAGTTTAGGCATCCCGCACTGAGAGGGTTACGTTGTGCGTTGAGTTGAGAATCCAGATGATCTCGGAATGCACTGTCTTCGTGCGTAATGTGCCTTGCGCTTCAGCAAGGAGCGCATGATAAACTGCAGCACGGAGATGTTCGCGGCTAGTTATCTGATCCACACCAATATATCAGAGAAATTGAACCAAGAGAAAGAGGATCAAAGACAGACAAGCCGCGCTTCAATGAATGCAAAGTTCACTTCCTCGCGCTCACGCTCCCCATTTTCTCCTTCGGCGGTCGAAGCAGTGATGAGGCGTCGTTTCAGTGCAGCAGAGTCTGACACGCCGGTATATAGGGCAGTATGGACATAGGATATGTGCGATGGGAAGTGCTGCAGATGGTAGGTTTCAAGCATCGTTATTGCTTGGCAATGTTTTGGATAATCGGCCAGTCACGATTATCTTATCGTGGTCAGGTGACTACAGCAATACAATCCCGATAGGTCCAAATAATAAAATCTCCAGAATACATGTATGCTCTATTGCAAAGACCTGGTTACTCCTTTTTGTCCTTGGGCCGACTCGATTGCTTCGGGCCAGTGAGCGTAAACAAGAGACTGCCGCAAAATACCATGCTTGCTCCGACACCCAGGTTGGCGGTCCACTGGCTTCCAAACCACCAGACGCTGAAACACAGGCTGATGGCTTTACGGGCTGTGAGCACGATGTTGGTTGATACAGACGAAACTTTCTGTGTGCGATTCGGTGGACAAGGTGGAAAGAGGGAGAATTATCGAGACGTACGGAGGATAGTCGGTTGACGCCTGATACACAAACAAGCTGGGAGCAAAGATTGAGGCCGAGGATCATCCAAGAGGTTAAAGCTGAGGAGTCCCGTCCCTGAGTGTTAGACAGGCTTTGAAGGCCACGTTGGACATCTGAGGCAAGCAGAAAGAAGACAGGCAGCGACAAAATGTGCTGCTCATGTTCAGCGTGTGGCAAGTCGAGAAATAACTAACGCGACACACCGTGTAGAAGACACCTTCCTTCCAACATGGTCCATATGTCTTGTACGTTCTCTCTTGGACCATTCCCAGAGCTCCGGTGAGAAGAAGCGACAGCGAAAGCATGGAGATGCCGGTCGTGTATTTCTGTAACTCTTCTGCTGATAGTTTGCTTGTGTGAGCGTCGGATCCAGAAGACGTAGAAGGTTTCGAAATGGTAGCCAACACAACCCCACTGGACACGAGGGCCACCGAAATCTAAAAGGTTCGTGTTCAGTCAAAGAAGCAGGACTTCAAATGAGATCCTGGCACGGACTATTTGCATGAGAGTATACCGCTTTCCCGAGAACAAGAAACCGAAAAGCATCGACACAGGAAGCCCTTGGAGTTTCGAGTCAGACAGACAGTACATGAGGCAATGAAATAAACTTCACACCAGCGGAACGGAAGACGATGAGTAGCGTCAGCGGGACGTTGTATGCGTATGCCCAATTGTTCAGTAGCGACGATGTTATCAGTAGCAGAACCTGCGTGGCCCAGCGATGCAGCGGAACTTGTCTAGGTTTCAATCTAGGGAGATATGAACCCGGTGGACGCTCCAGAAATGTCGGAAGAGCCTGGAACGCGATGAAGACTGCTTGAGAGAATGTCAACGCTGAACCGATGCGCGCGTTCATTAGAAGGAGTTGTTCATAGGCCCACACATTCCTAGTCAATATTGAGTACGCACGGGGCAGTCAAGGAGAGTCTTACACGCAACATCCTCCTAAAACCATCGAGAGGATTGAAGAAAGATCGAGCAGGGCAGGAGCTGCTTCGGAGACCTTGATGCCCGCATCGGTGTTCTCTGAAGTGGACGGGTGGTTGTTTGGTTTTTTGTTCGCCCGATGTCGCAGTTGAGCCATAACGACTCCGAGGATGAATCGCGTAGAGACCAAGCCGACAGTCAGTTGTGCACGTGGCCGAAGCGAAGATGCCAAAAACAGTCAGCTTCGGGCGGGAGTGTAACGATATAATGGTATGACTTGACTTGCAAGTGACAGGGATATATCCAATTCTTTCTCCTGCTTTAAACAACGTCGTTCTGCAGTATAAACTTTACTCCTCGATAGGCCCACGGACACATAGGGTGAACATCCTCCGAAATAAAGTAAATCTGGCCGAAATTTTTGACTTGAACCCTCCGGGAAATAGCGTAAAAGTGCCTCAAAAATGGCAGCAAGCCTCCGGAGATAGCGTAAAACTTGGCTAGATCCCTGCCGATCTTGAAAGATTTGAGCCCTGCACCAGCGTAAAATCGGGTAGAACCCGGCCTGATCTGGGCATTTCTGACTTGAATTTAGACATCTGGGCTCATGTAGTCTTTTCAGTCGTCAGCAAGACTAATTTTAGCTGGAAATGTACTGAATTTGGAAGTCTACGGAGAATCTAACAACCGATATGATCAGAATGATCGCTTGCCTGATCGTTTTTTCTTGCCCATCGTTCCCGGCTCCCAAGCGCTGCGCCATCCTGCCGGTTCCCGAAGTACATGGGCATGACAGAAGTGTCGGCAGCTGTCCTCGAAGTCACGGACAGTGACGAGAGTACAGACCTAGAGTTGGATCTCTCGGAATGGATTGGCGTCGGAAAAGTCTACAAGGACGTCCCATCGGCTCGTAAACGCGTAGCGGGAACAGATACTGTGCGTACTAGAGGTGGTATAGGTCAGGTGAAAGCTCCTACAGCTTAAATACAGTCCCTAGAAGCTTAGGGAGAAAATTCGAATTAACCCTCCAAAAATAGAGTAAAAGTTGCTCAAAATGTCGAAAAATTTAACGTAAAAGTAGGTAGACTGGCGGAGGATGTTCACCCTATGCGTCCGTGGGCCTTCCTCGATCAAGACCATATGGTAGATCTATAAAGACAGCGCTTCACCTGGCCCGGCGTTATCGGCTGTCGGGCCGTGGCCGAGTCACCCAGTGGCGATAATGTGACAGAGCGCGTTCAGCCATACACTCTACAGCCATCGACCACCGGTTGGGCTCGATCCCTGTCCAAAGCCCCGCGGTACCTCGATTGCTTTCGACTCAGCACTATGAAGTTCGATGGCTCTATCACCTCGGATTCACCATTCTGCGATATCATTAGGCAGGACAGACTTCCTACTACCATCGAGCGGAAGATGATCAGAGACTACATCACGGAAAAGAAAGCATCACTCTCCGAATTGAATGCTCGAGTGCCGAGACGCAACCGGGCGACGGGGCGGAAGCTCTCTCGACAACTACGCGCCGAGCTGGATCACACACGTCGCGTCATTCGCTTTCACCTTGCCATTATCTCACCCTGGCGGTGGCTACCCGTGGAGATGATGTCCGAGATTTTCGCCTTCACCTTGTCGCCGAGGGAGAACGATGAACATGATGAATGGAATGACGATCGAGCCAGTACGTTGCTCTTGTGCAAAATCTGCAGGCGATGGAGGCAAATAGCGGTCTCTACCCCCGCATTGTGGAGCGTGCTTAACCTCGACCTCCGAGGAATCGAAAAACGACCGCCGGAATGGGCGCTCGAGTGGCTTCAACGCTCTCAGTCGTACCCCGCATATCTCCAATTGTTCTGGGACAATACGACGCGAATGGACGTGCTCAGTTGCGCCATCTCCGCTTTCTGTGCGCATGCTCATCACGCTGCGTCTCTCTGGCTGGACGGTCTTCCCATTGACGACATCGAACTTGTGACGGATATCTATCCGCGACCAATCTTCCCCGCCTCCACACCTCGAGCACCACTGCTCTCGATGCTTTACGCAGATCTCCCCGCAGGGAGCAACTGGGAATGGGTGTATCTGGCTTGCAGAGCCGCACCTCTTCTTTCCGACCTCACTGTCACTCATTTCGCTAAGGACTTTTGTCCCGTCCCGAATCTCACTCGTCTACATTTCGTGGAGCCGGTATCGATGGGGAATGTGCTGTATATCTTGGAGGCTACACCTGGCCTGGAAGATCTTTGCGTCGACATCGATGGACCCAGTGTTCCTCGCGGTCCAATTATTCGTATGGAATCATTGGCTCGCTTGGAGGTCACATCGAACGACCTGCTCGGTCTGTTCTTTGAGCACGTGGAAATGCCTCGTCTCGAGGACGTCTGCATATACCAACTGACCGTTTGGCCTCGGAGCGAAGTCGCCTCTTTCCTCACTCGTTCGTCTTGCAACCTGAAAGTGCTGGACTTCCACAACGCCGAGGTCTCGCAGGACGACGTCATCGAATTTCTCAAGCACAAGGCTTGCGTGTCGCTGAAAGCTCTGACTGTCGCAGACTGCATTCCTCCAGCCGACTATCTTCTACAGTACCTAACTCCCGATCGCAAGACCACTCAGAAGTTTGAGCAGTGGCCCAATCCACGCCTCGAAGCTATCGAGCTATCGAATATCCTCACGCACGACGGCTGTCTTTCGGAGATGGTCGCCTCACGATTGCCCCCGCACTTTGATGACCGACTTCCACTACCGGAAGGAGTAGACCATCTGCGCAGCATCCAATTCTCGTTCGTCGACGGCGTCAACAGCCCGGACGCCCATGTCGCCGACTGGCAATCCCTGCAGCAGTTGGAGAAATTACATCCCACACTCGAGTTGATCTGGCCAGAGCAAGACCCTATTTCGCTGGCCATTATTCCAGCATAATGTATATGACTATTAGCGATAGAAATGTAATCGCCGTTCTTACGCGCCGGAAACACAAGTCAGGCTAGATCATGTGACGTCATTGCCTCTTGAAAGTTTCCTACCATGGAGATCGATGCCGGGAGCCCTCCCTCGCAGTCATATACGATCCTACGAATCAAACGCAAGAGAAATGAAGAGCCTCTCGATGCGCTAGGCATGCCTTTCTTGGCTTGCCTACCCAAGTTCATTCGTTAACGATCAGCTACCACTGACTTTAGTCGTGGAATCCCGGCGGAAGAAGAAGTCTCGCGGCGGCGGAATAGGCGTCTTCCAATTCGCACAGACGGTCGAACCGGAGACGTGGAAGGATGAAACTTCTCAACGCGATCTAGAGGTATGTCTCGAACGTCGGGGAGGACGTCTGCAAACCTTGTGCAGGAACAAATCACACGACTCGCCCGTGAACGCGCGACGGCCGCCCAGGATCCCCAAAGTCTCTCTACGGCGCCAAATCCAAATCCAAATCCTAGGGCGTCGCCGACGGTGGCCAAAGATGAACTCTTCCGCCGGTATACGGTCATCCAGCAAGAAGCGGAAGGCGCTCGAAAACGACGGGCGACAAGCCCGTGCGTTCATTTCCCATCCCTCATGTCTGTTGGTTTCCTTCTCATATCGGCCGTCCAGACCGCGCGTCATCTCCGCCAAAGATCTGCCTCCCAAGCCAAGAAACGGATTCAAATTGTACGACGCGGTCCTGTCGTCCGACTCTCCTCGTGCCGGCACCAGCGATGAGGGCATGGATGCTTTCAGTTCTCTGCTGGAGGACTACCTAAAAAGTGTGGTCATCTTGCCCACTTATGGAATACCCCTCATTCCTTAACTCCCAGTGAACGATATCACGCCTTCCCCCGCCGTTGACATCATCCCGCCTTCATCGTCGGAAGACTATGTTTGGGATGTGTTTTATCACCGGCCGGCTACACTGTCTGAGTGGAACGACGCAGCCAATGTTGGCACACTGCAAGTTTTCGAGAGCATCGCACCGTCTGCGGCTTACAAGCTACAGGACGGGGCTCCCTCCATCTATCACCGATCCCTACGACTCTGATTCCGATGAGGAGGAGGAAGACGATGCAGATGAAGACTCCAATGGTCTGTCTGCCGTACTCACTCTCGCCGGTACATGCATTCACAATTGTCTAGCGGAGGAATATTACAAGAATGACTATCCGGATGAAGAAGACAGCGTTTCGGACGACGGGAACGGTATGTGTCAAGGTTCCCGATCGCCAACGTTTCTCACTTGCTATGCAGTCGACGATCGAGAGTTTTACGAAGATTCAGAAGAGGAGGTCGAATATGACGACGGATCTGATCATGATTGGAGATGACGAGAAATTCGCTTGAGCAAGAATCCTCCCCATTGCTGCCAGCGCTTTGACATCGCTGCACTATTAGATCCTATTTGCTTATACAATGTCGTCGTTGAGGAGCGTAAACGATATCAATGATGGCACTCAGCGTCGACAGGCAGCTATCTGCTAGTTGGCGATGGCCTCTCCGCCAACATCCCGGTACATTGTGAACAACAATTTACACTTGTACAGCTTACTATTCGTGTCTTACACCTTCTTTTCAGATTGAGTGTTCGAGCGCTGAGAGCGTTTGCGACCGAACGTCAAGAGACCCAAGAACGCAAGAACACCAAACATGATGGCAAAGACGGCCAAAGTCAGGCCTGCGCCGAGGAAGCCTGCACCCACTGGGCTGATTCTGTCATGGTGGCTGTGGAATCCAGCAACGGCGACGGCGCTGGCTTGCGATGCGGCGAGGGCCAGTTCTCCGCAGCCCCGATTCGCGTTGTTTCCACAGGCATTGCACCATTGGATCGTGGTGTTAATCATCGCTGGCTGGTGGATTGTAAGCACTCTTGGGCCGCAGTCACATTAGACAGCGACTTGCGTTGACGTGTTGGACCAAAGTGGAGATCGGAACGTCCGTTGTGGAGCCCAAAAAGTTGTAGGTGACAAAGTCCTGGCCTGTGCCGTTCTTGAAATTGAACCGCAAGACAGCCTCGCTTCCATCCGAAGGCTGGCGAACTTCTAACGCCACCGCCGCCGCGTAGTTGACTGGGAAAATATCAGCAACCGGCCGTCCTCACTCTGCTTTGCAGACTGACCGATTCCAGCCAACTCCGGGTTCTGTTCCGCCACGCCTGTCATATTGAAGAGCGACAGGAAGGGCTTGTATGCAATTGCCTGGTAGGCAATCTTGAGCGGGTCTGAAGCATTGGCAATGCTATGCAGCTCTTGCAACATCTGGGGCAAAATCGTCCGGCCAGCGACTGTCCCTCGGGTTCAGTGTCCTGTCCGTGGAAGACCGAAGTCGAAAACTCACTGTTCCCGATCCCGTTGAGCTGGGGAGATGTGAAAACTCCGTATTCGTGCCAGTTTGCAAGTGTCCGAGCCTGGGCGAGGAACGTCGGAGGCAGCGCTTGAGCAAACGCCTTATTGTGAATGGATTGCACGTTCATGAAGTCGTAGATCTGTTTTGTTTTATGAATGAGTCAACATCTCCGCTGCCGAATCAGCGCTCACATTCCACATGTTCTCCAGAGTGACTGCCCGTCCGTCCAGGTAGGGCGGAAGCTGACTCAGGAAGGACGCGCTCTCGTTGGCCTGGGCCTGGAATGCAGGAGATGCGTAAAAACCACTGGTCCACTGGTCGAACGCCTTCACGTGCGGTTCGATGAGCGTTCAATAGGGCATGCGGCGAAGCCACGTACCCCGCAGGAGGTCCAACCTTCAAGCGAGACATCGTTGTTGGTTTCCACGGTTTCGACTGCAGTCAGGATAAGCGAAGCAGGAGTGAGAATGTTATGCTTCGCTCACTGGGGACATACTGGGAGAACATATCACTTTTGGAGCCCAGTGCAGAGTAAACGCGACGCACCTGGTAGCCGCTCTCCGCTCCTTCGATAACGGATCCGTTGGAAAGGCTCGTCGTGTAGTTGGCGTTTGCAGGGAACAGCCCTTGTAGCATGGCCACAGCCGAATCGTATATGACGCCCGACTCACCGCCCGCATCAGCCCGTACGTGCTGTGATGCCATTACGTCAATCAGTCACGGGATCGCGTTTCGCACTCACGATCTGGTTCTGTGTGGAAGCGATTTCAGCGTGACGGCCAGGAACGGATCGTTGTGCCTACCGCATTGACCAGGCTCGAGTTGATCCCCCGGACGAAGAGCGGCGAGGATGCGTTCAGGTATCTCGAGCGCAAGATCGATCCCAATTGCAGTTCTTGTTGCTGCCAGAACACTCAGTGAGACGGCGGTGGGCGGGTAGAGCCGGCTCACGGTGCCCAGAGGTGTGATAACCGTCCCAGTTGGAGTGTAGGTCGTCGGATCCTGGTAGAATCCTACATCGAGTCAGAGATCTTCCGTGAACCGGGTTCGAAGGGTACCTGCACGATCGCCGTGTCTGAAAAGAGATTAGGCACATCCCGGACGAAATGGGAGCGAATACTTGCCGTGCTAGAATCAATACACCGACCAGAGTGCTGTTGGACATGTTCGGGGTCAGGAGCCAAGGCTTCGCACGACCTTCGTCGACGTCAAACTCTTAAAGGCTGGAAGAAGTCATGTGATGAATCTGATTGTGGCTCATAGATGATGAGTTCGGCATGACATGAGCATATCTAGTGGCCCGGCCGTGCATTACAGATAAATAGAAGCGTCTAAGATAGTGTTCCTCCTACGGATTCCATGGTCTGACAATCCGCCGTGAGCAACAGAAAGCAGACCAGGAAACGAGCTTACGAAAGGGGATGCCGTTGGACCATCAAGGATGGCCAGCTCTTCGGCTGTGAACGGCAATCGTGGGACGATCCACACTCGCAGAGGGATGAGGAGCATTATGACCACCGGGAAACCGATCGCCGCTGCTCGAGCCAAATGGTGAGCATAGGAACAGGGAAGAAATGACGGACGGACCGATGGTTTGTGTGATGGCAAAAGTAGCGCCGAATCCGACAAGCTGGACACCAACAAATAACAAGATTCGTGACTTTCGCACTTTTCTGAGCGGTTCGTCCGGTGGTGTCAGGTGCTTGTCACGGAGAAAGTAGAGAAGCTTCTGCGTGATCCCATTTCCACGCAGCGCATCGGCTCCCATGAACCAGCTGTTGGATGGCAGTCGGCGTGCTGAGTAGGCATGGGACCGAACGGAGGACAGCTTACAACAGGCCAGCCAGAACTCCGCGAGGGATCAGATGCAGCACATGCAGGAAAGGACCGGTGAGAAGCACCAGACAGAGTGCCCCCTGAGCGAGATTGGAGACACGCTGCTCCACAACGGCTATCGGTCGCTCAACGAAGTCCAAGCTATCTGATCTCTGATCTTCCTTGTCTGCTTCGGGCCTACCGTGCTGCATGACGAGCAGCGATGTCGTATGAATCGGTGCTTGAGGGATTAAACCGTTGGGTGCCGGGAGTCCGAGCAAACCGGCGATGAACTGGAAGCGAATATCAGGGTACGATCCTGACGATCCGAGGAAACTCACCGTCGTGATCCCCAGGAGGAAAAAGTCCCAGTGGAATCCAGGAGGCTTGCGCAATGGGAATTCAGCGCCCTGCATCCGTCCAGTCAGCGCTTCGTTCATGAGCAATGGCATCTGCGCGCGCCTACCTGAGCCATCAAGGACGAGACGTTGTGATCGAAAAAGAAGAGAACCCAAAGAATGAATCCAAATGGGAAGGCGATCCCGACCCATTTCCCATCCAGTTCCCAAAATTTGACCAGCCACTCTCTCCCTCCGGCAGGCTGGAATGCGGCTCCGACGGGAAGGGTGGCTGTATTCGCGGCGTTGAAACGGCCCCAGTACGCCATGGCGGAGGATGCGATCAAGGATATGGGCATGCCGTAGTCTGCGAGAAATCGGCGCGTGTGTCGATGAAACAGGTTCTGGGCCGACAGCGACTGGAAGAGAAATGATGTCACGAGCATCAGGAGCGCGACAACGATCGAGACGAGCGGCCCTGGCGCGTTCTGCGGGTTCCCGTCGAGTTGTCGTGTCAGCACCTGGACACCATACTGCAGGTACACCCAAGCGACGTAGAATCCAAATGTATCGCAGGGAAACAATGTCACATATTTTAGGAAGTTGCAGAAGTTCAGAGCCGCCGTGATCCAGTGCAGAATGGCAGCCCATAGGTACACCCAACCGACGAAGTGCAGATAGTCCGGCCTGTCCTTCGCTCCTTGAGTGATCGTGAAGATCGTTTTGTTGAACACAGTGATCGGTCCTTCCGAAATGTCATCAGCAGGAAACAAATGAACCGTGCATAAATTACCCGTCACTCCCGCAATGGTCAGTGGCTGTACACCAAAGACAGAAAACACGAAGGCCGCCATGAATGAGGACAGCAGAACTTCGGACACTCCATATTGATTGGTCGTTTCAATGAGATCCAAAGAGAACGCAATTCCAGGAAGAACGCTGCATAACCTGAGATGGCATTCGTTGGAGAACAACACATCGTGCACATACTTGGCAAAGAAAATCAAAGCAGTCGCTGGTATCACTCGATAGTTCCAAGCGTCGGTCCAATCACTCAGGTAGAACGGTATTCTAGCCGCTATGTCCTTAGACATTCCCGAACCGATCCCTCTGAGCCATCCCAATAGACTTTTTGACTTGGGTCTGATGGCGGGGTGAATGGTAGAGGGTTGACTAGACGACACTCTTGAGTTGGGTTGTTCATCCTTCACTTCAGCACGCAGCGAGGCGGGTCTGCGAGAGAGTTCTGAAGAGGACATGGGTCGTTATGTGCGCTCTGCGAGTACAGAGCATCAAATGCGACGACGGTGGAGTCTCGCCAAGAGACGAAGGCCGGAAGCCGAAAGCTGGAGAAATCTTGACATCACAGAATCTGTCAAACGTCAAACCTGAGGGCCGGGCGACGTCACTCGCAACTACACGTCCTCGCACACAACTTGTACTACTAGCGCGTCAACGATCTGGACTAGCGGCGTCGCAGGCATGGCTTATCTCTCGGCGGCTCGCAAGGGCGCGACCATCTTTGGAGGATTGTATGCAGCGGCCATATTGGCCGTCATGATTCCCTACATACAAACACAGTGCGTCCAAATTTATCTCTTGAATAACACACGCCCACATCCAACACTAGTACTCTGGTATGCACTACGTGATCTTGTCCCGCTTAATCAACTCGTTCTCGTGTTGCAGTTTCTTCACGCCCTCAAAATTCCTCTTTTCTCCGATTACAACACGCCAGAGAAGTACGGGCTAGCTCCGAACAAGACTGCGAATCTCAAGATCTCGACTGCCGATGGAGAGCTGCTCGGGGCGTGGTTCATCCTCGCAGATCAGTTCTACCACTCTCTACCCTCGCATTCGGCCCCACCAGTTGAGCATGTTGGTGCCGCGTTGAAAGCGCGTCCTACGGTCTTGTTCTTCCACGGAAACGCCGGAACGCGGGCCTTCGGTGCCCGCATTCAACACTACACGACATTTTCCTCGAGATTATCGGCCAACGTCCTGGCAATCGACTATCGGGGCTACGGAGACAGCACTGGCACACCCAGCGAGGTTGGCTTGGCGCGTGACGCTCGGGCTGCCTGGAACTGGCTAATAGACAATGGGGCACTGGCCAGTGACATTCTCATCGTCGGCCACAGTCTCGGGACTGGCGTATCGTCTCTACTTAGTGCTGAATTGTCAGATGAGGAAATCGCACCCAAGGGCGTGGTGCTTCTGTCGCCATTTTCAAGTATTTCGAAGGTTGTAGAGACTTACAGCATGCTGGGAATATTCCCGCTTATACGCCCGTTGGCGTCCATTCCTCGGGCGACAGGTGCCGTACTTCCTAGACGGTTTTCTGCAAAATCTCTGAAATGCCCGCAGAGTTCTTGATGAAAAGGCTGATCCACAAATTTGATACGGACAAGTTGGTGCCAAGAATGAAAGGCCAAATTATCATTGCACATGCAGGCGAGTGCGGTTCTCGACATCCAGGCACTGGTTCTCAGGATCGGCCAACAGAGAATGACTGGGACATTCCATATACGCACTCCGAAGCGCTGTTCACAGCCTTCCTCGACCCCCATTTGCCCCAAATGATTGCGTTGCCTCCCCATCTGGCCTCATTGTCCCAAGAGCAGTGGTCTGAATTCACGAGCAGGGCTGCAGAAAGAAGAGAAGCCCGCGAAGCCCTGGTCTCCACAACGGAAATCCCCAAGTTCGGAACCCTGCACAAATTCAACGACGGCAAGCGCACGGTCACGCACGTCCAGACTCTACACGGCGGACATGATTATGTTGGAATTCAAGAAGGTGTCAGCGATATTATTGGCCAGACTTTCGGATTCTTCTGATGCATAGATATTGTACACATTGTATTGCACCTGTCGCGTTTCACTCGACGTCTCCCACTGCGCCGGGTTTTCCTGGTCTCCCAGCGGTCTTCCATGCGGCTACGATCAGACTGACGACATCGTCGACCCCAGTGCCCTGTTTGACGCTGGTGAACAAAGTGGGCCCGTCTCCGCGCATCAGCTTTGAGTCGCGGTCCATGACCTCAAGCGAAGCTCCAACATATGGTGCCAAATCGATCTAGGCATCTTCAATTAAAGTCCAGAGCAGGTGTTCGAAATCACGGGTACCTTGTTGACGACGAGAAGGTCTGACTGTGAAATGCCGGGACCACCTTTCCGTGGGATTTTGTCTCCTCCCTGCAAGTCCAGTCATCAGCGCCTTCATATAACATGTTCAGGGAAGATGACTTGCGGAAACGTCGATCACATAGATGATGTAATCGGCCAACTCCCGCGAGTAGTTCGCCGCAAGATTGTCTCCTCCACTCTCAACAAGAAGCAGCTGACACTCGAATGTCGCCTGCAATGTTTCCAACGCGCCCATGTTTGCGCTGATGTCCTCGCGAATGGCCGCATGCGGGCAACCACCTGTCTCGATGGCAAGGATTCGCGAAGCAGGGAGAGCTTTGTTCTTGATCAAGAATTCTTGGTCTTCGCGCGTAAATATGTCATTAGTCACAGCAGCTAGCTCCGTACATATGAGAAAATCTGAAAGCGGCCCGGGGAGGGAGACACGGACCGATGTTGTACTCCTTGCGCAGGGCTTTGCAGAGCGCAAGAGCGAGTGCGGTTTTCCCAGATCCAACAGGCCCTCCGATCCCGACAGTGAAACCTCTCTCTACAAAGTTTCGGCCAGAGTAATCGGGCAAGTCCCGCTCGGAGAATTTCCCTGTAGCTCTGTGAGACCCCGAGATAAAATCGGACGGGGTATCTAACCGGCATGATCGAGATGTTCGTGGGTGTGGCCATGCTCCCCTCCGTGGTCGTGGGAGTGTGATCCGTGCTCGTGAGCATGAGGCGCAGGTACGCCGCTGGCCGAGAGGTTGTTAATGAACTGGACGCTCATTTCGCAATCGATAAGTCTTCCGTTGAGTTCGATATCTGTCATGAATCATGCTGGCCGGACGCGTGATCTGGGGTCGGCACGTGAGCGTGACTGCTCGAAGTGGTAGTCGAACTGAACTGGGGTGGCTACTTGCCTATTACAGTCTTGAACTTTTGCATGAAGCGCGACTCGGTGCAGCTCGTGTCCTATTCGAGTTCTGAAGATTCCGATTCCGAAAAATCTCCGCCAACAAAGAAAAGGTGCCTCCCGCCCGTCCCACGAGAAAGACGCATGTCTCATCGCCTGCAGAAAACTTCCCACACTTGCGGCCACATTGGCAGGCAAAACTCACGTCGACAACCCTGCTCTTCATCAAGGTCGTAAGAGATCAACACCCCACATCGATGGCCAATATGCCACCCACGTCTACGCGTCTGTTCCGTTATCCCGGAGCTCTCAGCTCTTCGACGCCATCAGCAAGATAACTGCCAGCGCAAAGGCTCGAGTGCCGGCTCTTAATGACTTCTTTTCCGCGCCGGATGGCAGACGGCCTGAACTGCATATATCCGTTACGCGACCCATATTCGTCCGGGCACATCAGCGTGAGGAATTGAAACGGGCGGTGAAACGAATCGCCGACGGGACGCGACCGTAGGTTGATGAACTCCGGTTTCCCATGACCTGACGCATTTATGATAGCTTCTCCGCTTCCTTGGCGTGTATCACCGAGCTCGTCAATGATGAACGCACTCGAGTCTTCCTGGCTCTCGAGATAGGCGCCGGACATCACGAAGTCGTTCCTCGGTTCAAGGATGCTCGCATGTTCTGATTAGTTTCGTAGCTTTCTGAGCTTACTGCATCTCTCAACCCTGTTCTGCAGGCCATCCGGCAAGAAGTATACTATTCTGAACCTCGTTTCCATGCTTCTATCGGCTGGGCCCTGCTTGACGAAAACCCACAGTCTCCACAGGCTGCTTCGGAATATCCCACCATTAGGGGTTTCCCCTCCACACTGCTCGCTGACCTGGATACAGAACACAGACTTTCGTTGTCGGCGGCTGCAGTGAAAAGTTTTGATATTGACGAGATTTGCGTGAAAATCGGTCAGGATGTCTGCCGGTTCCGGCTGCAATCATGATTTTGACCCGTGGGGTCTCGGGAATCTGGGGAATTCATTCATGTGCTGTTTATCTTTGCCCCCTTGCGCCACAGACATCTTTACGAGCCTCATGTGGTGAAATACCCGCCGGGGGCGCCGTTCTTTACCCGGAAGAGAATTCGATAAGAGGGAGATGGTGCGGCCTGAGATCCTGGGTGCATTGTTGATTTGTTTCATATCAGAGTCGCATTTGGACGTTCATCCGAAGAGGAAAAGAGAATCAAGAGCGCTTGCTGTTGATGATGGAATTCGACAATGAAAGACCTGTCCTTGTTTGGCAGATTGTGTCGGGGCGTCTAATGTCTGAGCGTTGGCTGACATATTGGGATCCGCCGGTGCACGGCATCCGGACTCCGCTTGCAAGCTGGCTCGTTTGCCTAACTCAGTGTGCACCCGGCACGAGGCTATTTAGAGGGGCATGTTCATCGATTTGGCCTAGGACCCTGCGGCGAGACTACGAGGGCGACATTCCGCCCACTGCCGGTTCCCTGGTCGAACAGATTGACGACTGCGACTTGAACGTCCACTAATCCAACAAGCTGTTCCTGGACCCACGTTCGACGGTCCAGGATGAACAGACTTTCTACCATCGGCCCCGCGATACAACGGAGAACGTGGAGAACCTCCAGCTCGCTGATCAGCCCGTTTTCATAGCCAGTGAGCGGGCCGCACTCGAAAACGGCGCCAAGACGATCACTTGCAGCCCGAACAAAGGTTTCCCAATCTGTGTACACTGCATTACTCAATCGGCCTAACCGGCGCATAACTGGTCGATCGCCCGTTCCGTCAGGCTGACCATCGATGCTATCGGACTCGACGTTCGCAGAGAAGCGAGAGCCGATGATCGCTCGCCAGACGACCTTGCGCAGGGCCAGTTCGGCGTCTGCTCGACTCTCGGGCGAACGCATCCACTGACTTGGCATCTGAGCGGCCAGATGGAAGGCCGAGATTGGCAAGGACAGACGCTCGGGTCTACATGTGAGATGTGTCGAGAGTGGAAAGTCTGCATCCAAAGCTTAGGAGAGGAGCGAAGCAGGAGACGAGCCGGTTTACCTCGAGAAGCTAAAAGATTATAGCAGCACCCTATGGCAATTACTCCCAGAGGCTTCCACCATGCGTGACCTACTCTTGTCTGCTGCATGAAGAAGGCTCGGAGAATGTCGGGAGTAAGCGAGCCGCATGCGTGAAGAGCCACAAACAGCACTGGAACAGGCTCGCCAGAGCTGGGTACCTTCGAGCTCTGGATCCATTCGTCGACTGAGTCGCTCAGGGTCTGCGGTGTTATATGGATCGTCTTCTGGGTGATCGATCCCACCAGGCCCGTCCGCTCTTGCCAACGCTCAGCACCCCGCGTCTGTATTTCTGAAGAGTCGAGAGCCAGAAGGTGAGTGGTCCCGAGATGTGATCGCAATGCCCGAGTTAGATATCCCTTGGAGAGCACTGATCAGTCACTGACAGCCCCAAGCGCGAGAGTGCAATCTACACACTTGACCCGCTCCAACATCAACGATCCGCACTGCCGGTACGTCCAAGTTCAAGGAGCTGAGAAGATTGGAGATGTAGGCTACACTCTGGTGGACCTGAAAGTGACATTTGAGATGGCAGACGACATATAATGTCAAGAACAACCTCGTGAGCTTTCTTCGGTGACATGCCTCGTGTCGAGAGTTCGAAGGGATCAACTTCAGTTATGAGTATTATTAGGAAGAAAGCTGTATAATAGGAACTTCGCACCAGCGTTGATCGGAATAACGTCTCGGGGCAAGGACAGTGAGGTTAGTTGATCAATTAGATCTCGAAGTTCGACAGGAATGTCCCATTCTTTGCCCAAGGCGCGCGCTTCCGAATCGAGTTGACTATATTCGAGGATCTGCCTCCAACGATCCGTTCCATCTGAGCTGCCTTTCGCCCATTCCCACCACGACTCACGGAAAGGCCAAGATCTGGATACAGCTAGGTCGTTAGGATGAGTCTCCAGTAGCGAGGCGACCAAAGGGCTTGTCACTGCGTCGCAAAGCGTATCGAGCGAACTGCTCATGATGTGGTTCTGAGGAAAATGGCCGGTGAGATTGACAGGGTGGCTGTACGTTTCATCAAACGCGACCACGTGAACAGCTACCCAACGCTTGGGGCGACTTTCTGACCTGCAAGCCCGCGATATGAGCTCGTTTATCGGATAGCAGCATACTTCAGGGCTGGATTCTCTCAGGAACTAAACTGGCCTTCTATTTCGGCGTTCTCGGTCATTAATTTCGCTTACGTAACAAGCTAATGAAAATGGTGTAGGTTGGCGCATCACACAACAAACGATGGATGTGCATGTTCTGCGAAAATGCGTCAGCAATCTCAAAGCTGCTCCAGGCAAGTATATCTGAGTCCTCATGTCGCGAAATACTTCCGAGCCATTGTTTTGGTTTATGCCGAGCGATGCCGGACTCTGAGTGCCCGAAAAGGCCGACCCCGCATTGATCTAGCCGATCTCTCAACGCACCAGTTGTTCCTCATCATGCACCTATATGTACATCTCCTCTGCGACAAGCCAAGTACACAACCATGGATTTCTTCACTCTGTACATGCTTCTCTCCCTTTTCGTTCTTGTCTATGTTCTTTCGGACTTCATCGCTCTTCTCATTCGCCAGCAACTCTCCCCGCTTTCAAAACTCAAGGGACCGCCATGCCCCTCGTTCTTCATGGGTCATCTGGCCGAAATGGCTGAGCAGGAAAACAACGACCTTCTTGCTCGATGGCAGGAGTCCTATGGGCCGAGCTTCGTGTATCGAGGGTTCATTGGAGGTCGCAGGCTGATGACTACCGACCCTGTGGGCATATGCATGTCCAACTGCTACCATTCCGTTGTTGACACACCCGCGCATCAGGTGGCGATCGCCCATATTCTCGGAAACGCTTACGACTACCCGAAACCCGACTTTGTGCGTGAGAGCCTGGCAACCATGGCAGCGGGTCATGACGGCCTGCTGACGGTTGAAGGTGAAACCCATCGAAGACAAGTACGTCTGACGAGTCAGGACTCAATCGCGACTAGCTCACACACGAACAGCGCCGGATTCTGGTCAGTCAGTCACTCCTAGCACAGCTTGCACAAGCTAGCCCCGGACGGCGATGATTTTCTGCTCTAACACGATGATAGACTCCGGCATTCTCCGCCTCCCATATCAAGTCGCTGACCCCCGTGTTTTGGGACAAGGCCATCAAGGCATGTTGTGTGCTCATGCTTATCCGAAGAGAGATTGCATGCTGATGGCATGCAGCTGCGTGATATCTGGCTTTCCGAGGCCGAAGCCGGCGCAACGGACAGCGATTACACCGGGTTTACGCGTATCGATGCTCTGAAATGGCTCGGACGCGCAACATTGGACGCCATGGGAATTGCTGGCAAGCCGCTGATGGTGGAATGACTTGTGCTGACTGGCTTCGCAGGGTTTGGATACCACTTCGACTCATTGATCAATGACGACAACGAGCTGGCCAAAGCGTTTGCCGTGATATTCTCCACTGCGCGCAAGTTCCGCGTGATGACCATCCTGCAAGTGTGGTTCCCATTCTTGCGCAGATTTGTGAGTGCTTCCTCGCAAAGCCCGCGTGACTCAAACGTGTTTCAGCGCCGCAATTCGAATGTGATGAAAGATGCACAGGCTACAATGCGGAGAATTGGACTCGGACTTATCGAAGAGAGAGTCCAGGACAAAGACACGTTGGGACGAGATATACTGAGTATCCTTGGTCGTCCGCTTTCTCGCCATTCCGAAAGTGATGCTGATTATAGAAATAGTGCGGTCGAATGCCGGAGCGTCAGCATCGTCCGAGAGCATGTCAGCGGAGGAGGTGCTTTGCCAAATCTCCACTTTCATCGCAGCGGGTCACGAGACGACGGCTTCTGCCCTGACATGGTGCCTTTATGCACTGATCCAGAACCCCGATATCCAACTCAAATTGCGGGAAGAACTGGGAAGCGTGGAGAAACGGCTGCGACAGACGAATCCCGGGCTGTCGGATACAGATGCAGAGCCATTGTTGACCGAGCAGCTGGCCAAATGCCAGTATCTGGATTGGTTCATTCGTGAGGCGCTAAGATTGCATGCCCCGATAACAAGTACAATGCGAGTCTGTATGCGGGACGAGGATGTTGTTCCTGTCAGTGACACCGACGAGGTCGGCTTCTGTGCAGGGAACCGACCAGCAGGCATCCGCCTCAAGAAGATGGATATTATCACAATTCCCATTCAAGCCATTAACAAAAGCAAGAACCTCTGGGGCGACGACGCCCTGCTGTTCAGGTGAGTAGGTCGCTGCGATGTTCTGCTGCTCGCTGACACTGGAAAGACCCGAACGCTGGGCGCAGGTTCCTGGAAAGGCAAAGGCGATTCCGGGGTTGTACTCCAGCATTCTGACTTTCCTCAACGGCAATCCCGTGGACGGGAACCGGGCTTGTATTGGCTACAAATTCGCTTTGCTCGAGTCCGTGTTTTTGTCCCCCTCGTGCTCTTTGATAAGGCTTTGACTGTCAAAGGATGAAGATATTTCTTTACGCTCTGGTCAAGGACATTGAGTTCCGTGCAGTGCCGTCGTTAGTGATCGAGAAGAAAATCAAGTGAGGCCGATAACTTGCCTTGTTAATCTGTCCGGTGCCCTGACCTGCAACCCTAGCGTCGTCACTCGCCCGTTTGTCAAATCAGAGCCGGGGCTGAATAACCAGCTGCCGGTGCTTATTCGACGAGCGGTTCCGCTGGATACATACATGACGCCGTAACCGTGCAGCTTTCTGAGGAGAAGCGAGTGAAGCCTGGTGCGGGTCCGCGGTGCATGACAATATGTCCTTTTCTGTCTGCTTCCGCGCTGGGAAACAAGCTTTCGTGCTGTAAGCGTTGCCGGCGAGAGTGGGCGCGCGCAAATTTCGGACGCGCAGACCTTAATTCAGGAGGGGGTGACATAAGATACTGCCGGCGGCCATTCGGCGTGGGAAGGGCCCATTGGCGAACCGGCGGCTCGCTGGGGTTAGGACCGCCGCGGAGGGCTGGGCAGTCATCTGCATTCAGTCAGTCGCCGCACTCGAGGAACAGGGCCCAATCATATCAAGATTGATCAATGCTTGCATGTGCAGAAATGAGTATCATAGTGTTCGAATCCTCTGCTTCGGGGTCCCAGGCCCGGCGACGGATCCAGCCCAGCCACTTTCTTTCGCCAGGGGCTGCTGCTCACCGGCGGCGGAATCGGACGACCCTTGGCGCTATCGTAAAATAATAGTGAAATACAGAATAATTATTAGTGGGGATATCGATATCAAGTACAATTGATTCAGAGCGATGCAAGAGATCTAGCAAGCAGAGGGTATCATGTTACACACGAGCAGGTACATTCAGGCAAAACAGGCAGCAGCGACAAAGATGCGGGAATAAATAATGCGCAGGACACGAGACCACTATGTAGCGTCCATAACAGCGCACGACAGATTTTGGTGGGCACGCCAGTTTCTTCGACGCAAGTGCACCCGAGACCGACGATGCTTCCCGCAGGACGAACAAAGTGACCGGGTAAGGAATCGAGCAAGGGGTCTCGACGAACTTGCCCGATCAGCAGTGGTGATCATCACCACACAGAGAGAACCGCTTATTGCGGGGTCCCATATCCACTGCCCGGCGCCGAGTCATGTCCGTTGGCCCCAGGACTGTGCCCCGGATTGGGGCTCCCCCCCGGTCCCGCTGGCGGCGGCGGCCCATCAAAGTAAGCACCACCACCACCACCACCACGACCTTCCTCCCTTGGGCTGGGCAGGTGATACCCTGGCGGCGGCGAGAATGGGTTCCCTGGCCCAGCCATGCTCGCTGGGGCGCTGAGCGGGACCCCGTACGCATTGCCAGTCCCAGGGCCGCCCGCATACATCGGGGGTCTAGGGCCATAGTCTAGCCCGACGCCCGGTCCCATGCGTAGCGGCGGCCCACGGTACCCCATATCGTGCCCGTGCGGATAGGCCGAATGTGGTGGGCCGTGATGTGGGTGGTGGGGATGATGCGGATGGGCAGAAGGAAGGGACTGCAGGGTCATCGGATGGTAGAGCTGGAGACTATCTGCGCTGGGGAGCGAGGCGCGGCGCGCGTCCATGAGTCCGTTGAGCGATGCACTGCGACCGGCGGGAGATGGATATGGTGCGGTGGTAGTTGGGCTAGCCGCAGCGCGATGAGCGGGCGCAAGGATACGTCGACGAGCCTGCAGATGAGTGTCAGTGATGGAGATAAAACAAGGGACGACGGCGTTTGGAGTGACAGGTGTGATTAATGAAGGAAGGTTGGGGCGGGAGAGCAGCGACGACGAGGACGAAGACTCACGTTGATCATCCAATTCGACACTTGGGACATGCTGAGGCCCGTGGCATGGCACAGCTGCTTTTTCTCCTCCTCGGACGGGTACGGATGGTCGGAATGACGATGAAGCCAAGACTTCAAGAAGTCGGTGGTCTCCTTGGGAAGTTTACCACGCTTGCGAGTGGGGCGGTCGACGGAAGCAGGGCCGCCCTGTGGGGATCGGGAACCGGAGTTGAGCGTCGGGGCCGGTGGCATGGAGGGATAGCCAGAGAGAGGGTATTCTGGCTGGGGGAACCATTCACCTTTTATACCCGACGACAGCGACCTGCGATCTGCAAGATGATGGCCCGAAATACGAGCCGAGTGTGCGAACATCTGACCGCTAAATGAAGAATGGCGTAACCCGTCCTCATATTTGACGGCCGGACTTTGAGACATTTGACCCGGGGTTGAGCTCGGCCGGACAATCCCAGATGGGGATGTGGTCCAGTGGTCGCTCTCGTTGTAGGGCGACAAATGCGCCGAATACGAAGTCGTAGAGGAGGCCGCCGACGCCCCAGGCGTCGTCCCAGAGGGATAGCCGTTGTCATAGTCGAATCGTAGATCCGTTGACACGGACGGACGCACCAGTCCCCGCTCTTGCCCGGACTCAGAATTGTTTGGGGGGAACGTGTAAGACGACAGGGACGACGGGGCGTAGACTGGCTGTCGCAGCTGGGACGCAGGGTATGGCTGGTGGCGCACATTCGAGCTGAGCGTCGGGAGCGATGCGCGTCGTTCAGGGCGGTATGAGTCTTCGAATGTCGTAAAAATCGACGGGAGGGAGACTTTCGATTGCTCGTGCTCGCCCTCAGCCCCGTCGACATCCCAGTGCTGACTCCGCGATGGCGGGGACTGGGTGGGCTTCTCTGAAAGGGACAGAGAGCTCGACTCGGTGTCTGCAGAAGCAGCAGAAGTGGACATGCGACGGGTGTCGTAGTCGGGGACGCTAGTTTGTAGTTTTGAGTTTTTTTCCAAACGAGAAACGAAGCCGTTGGTGACTGACATGAGTGCAGCGTCGGGATCTGGTGCCAAGTAAGAGATGTCCTTGTCAGCCGCTCTGCAGAGAGGGGTGTGTAAGTGGAGGTTGCGCAGAAGACGAGTGTCGTACAGCGCGTACTGGAGTTGTGCTACGTTGTACGAGTTGAGCTCGGTGGCGGCGGGCAGAGGCGCGTCTAACATGGGTGAGGAGCGGAGGGTGCAACGGAGAGCAGCGGAATCTGGTCCCGACTATTTATCGACGGTAGTCCAAAATGCTTTCTCGCCCGAATAGGGCGATCTTACCACATTTATCAAAAACTTGAGAAATCTAACGAGATCTAATCACCGATGGAACGGGCCATTCCGAATTGGGTTATATTGGATCGGCTCGCTGCGAGCTGGTTCGTTTCCCGCTGGTTCAAATCAAGACTACCGTCCCATCAACTTGAGCACGCCCTCCGTCTTGGACCTTTCGCGCGACGTCACAGCCACCCCGTCTAGCACACGGATACCGGGGCAGGTTCGCATAATCAGGCCTCGATATGCCAAACGGCCGACATAGATCCCATCAGGCAGCCCTCGCCGAAAACGTCCGTCCATTTCTGCCCACTCTGCTGCACTCATTTCCGACTTGACGATGAGAGGAAGATACCAGCCTAACGTGCACGGATTCATCCTGGAAAAACAGTCAGTGCGCCCCTGAGAAACCACGTGAGCCCAGGGACAGACCGGAAGTCTAGAGCCTCGATCTCAGACATCCCCTGGATGCTTCGGAGGATCTCCTTAGTACTCTATGACCCAATCAGCCAAGCCAACTAACGACAAATACACACACGGACCTTCAGTCGTGCGCCGACGACACTCAATTTCCTCAGCCGCGAAAGTCCTTCTAAACCGCGGACATCCTCCAGGAAGTTGTAGTTCAGATTCAGGGCCCGGACATTGGGAACAAGACTGGCGATTCCCGTGGGCAGTGACCGCAGCCGGCAGTTGGCCAATTCAAGATAGACAAGATTGTAGCAGGCGCAGCTGAAAAAGTGGGACGACAGGACGTTCCCTGTCCTTGTAATCAGCGACTCGGAGCATATAAAAAAAGCCACGCGCACCGCTCAGATATAACCGTTTAGCATCCCGAAACACTCCGAGATTTAATTTTAAGGCCCCTGTTTTGCTCTGGTTCCGGAGACTGAGGTTTTCCAAATGGTTCAAGCCGCCAGTTTCAACAGCCTTGCCAGCAGCCCGGCCCACAGTTCCGGTCTGCGATGCAATGCCACTGTCCAGTCCGTCGAGAGCATTTCCATCGATATAAAGGGTCCGCACTCCAGGCCATCTATTGACCTTCAGCCCCTCCAGCTTATTTCCGCTTGCTCGGACAACTCGCACTCGAGTCATCAGCCCCCCGGCATCGAGCTCCCCTTTGAGCCGGTTGTCGTCGACATTGAGGACGACCAGTGACGACAACGCATGCAAGGCTCCCAACGTCGTGATCTGGTTGTCCGACAAGTCGAGCACCTCCAGCCGCGTCCAATTTATGCGCGAAAAGTTGAGCTCGCCGGCGATGCGATTCCCCGCCAAAGACAACTTGACCAACCCATCCAGATTCTGCAGTCCATCGACGTCCGAGATGGTATTTCCGTCGGCCCGGAGCTCTCTGAGATGTCGCAAACACGAAAGTTCTGCAGACCGTGGTAAGCATTCAGGCACTGAAAGAATATGTCATCCGTACGTCTCAGCGAGTCGACCTCGTTTCTGCTGATGTCCAGATTCTCCAAGTTGAGCAGGTGGCTGTACGATGTCAAACCTGTCAATCTGGGTCCGAATTAGCGAATTGGAATTGGGCGGCATTTAGGAAAGAAAGAAAGAGACGGAGACGGAGACGGATGAGAGTTAATGTCGCGTGCTGTCAAGAGCCCGGCCATTATATCATGCGCGGCCCACGGAGACTAATATTCGACAGACAGCGGCCACCGACCTGTTTGACGCGACAGAAAGTGTCCGCACCGCACTTGGCACACCGCTGAGCCAGGCCAGTTGATTTGAGTTCCTATTTGGGAATCAGGGGTCTTGCGCGCGCGAGTCTTTCCCGTCGGGTGGACTCACAGATTGAGTGCATCCAGAGCGGGCAAGAACTCCTTCAATCGAGCAACGCTTTCAAGCCTCTTGCCAGATAGCTCGACCGTCGCCAGGGTCTCCCAATGAGGCTCGAACGGCTCCACATCGGTCAAGACCTGGACCAGCTGGTCGTGCGCAACTCCGAACGAGCACTCAGTCAGGAAGGTTCCATTGTCCCGCGTCACATGTGACCGCGAAAAGACGCGTCGGGAAGAAGTGGAACCGGCCAGCGAGGGAGAAGCCGGCTCGTGTGTCGGTGCGTCCGATTCCAGTTCTGCGAACATGTCAGTGAATTGTAATACCATTACGTGAGCCCAAAGATGTTCAGAACTTAAACTCACCCGAAGAGTCACTTCTCGCTGCCAACATCTCTGCGATCCGCTTGGACCTTGCCGAGGGTTGAGGCTCGGCACTGCTCAACCCCACGATAGGCCCTTCCCGCTTTCCATCCGAGAAGCTGACTGACCGGCGGTGGGTTCGCTTCGGGGTGCGGAACTTGGATCGCGCTGCATCCTTCATAGCGGACGAAGGTGTTGCTGTCGCTGGCGTCTTCTTCAATGCCGATACGGGTGGCAAGACCCTGGGCGGAATCGGTGTTTCGAAAGTCGTCACAACAATAGGCGGCGGCGCGAAAGCCTCAGTCAGCGATTCGTCCACAGGAACGTGATGTGGTGCCAGCACCGTGTCGTTGTCCGCCTCCAATTCCGAGTCTGTGTCGTCCAGGTCTGGAGGGACCACATGTTCCAACGAGCCCGACCCGGTGATCACCGCATCATTCTCCGCCTCAGAATCAGTGGTCTCCTCGAACTCCTCCGTCTCGACACCAGTCATGACAGAGACAATTCGGCCCGAAGCGTCCGTCGAGAAACTTGTGAGAGCCATCTCCTCGTCGTCTGTGGGCTCCTCTTCAACTCGAGCGAGAAGCGAGTCGTCCCTGAGACTCTCAATGTCCCCGAATGGGTCTTCACTGACTTGGTCTATCTCACCGCCCACTTCAGCTTGCACGTTCTTGACCCATCTCATCATCACCTTGTCGAACAACATGTCACCCATCCGATCAGGGAGAACGGGCACGTCTTGTGGGGCAATGGTTCGCAGATGCGCTGGCCCTGGATGCTTGACGTAAGAGGGAACGCTGGCTGTAGTCAATGTCGTTCCCGACGCTGTACTGGACGACACATATCGCTTGAGATCGTCGTTCGTGGTTGTGCTCGGGCGAGCAGGGATGAGTAATGCGGGATTCGCGATGATGTTCACACCGTGGGGTGGCACGAATGCAGAGGTAGGATGGTTCTTGGCAATGTCCAGTCGCGAGAACTCGCTGGTCACTTCGTCCAGCGGGGGCCCTGATATTCGCGCCTTCCGGGGACTGCGCCTCGGAGAAGTGTTAGAATGCACCTTTCGATGACGCGTACTTTCTCGTAGATTCTCCTTGTCAACTGGTGCAGGTGTCCATACGGATGTTGCACTATCCCCTGAAAACACTCGTTTCGTGCCCTTCACGTCACTTTTGATCTGTGCCATCAGAGCCGCTGCCTGCTGTCGATACGTAGAAGATGAATAGGGTGCACTCGATGTGGACTTGTATGTCGACGTCTGGTCCTCAGATAATGCCGGAACATTCAAAAGATCTGGGATGTTCAAAAAGGAGTCATGAGACGGACAGAGAACACACCTGGTGGTTGATCGCCGTCATTCGCTGGACTAGACTCTCGCCCAGAAACAACGGTGGATATGGTCGAGAAATCGCGAGCTTGTTTGATCTTCTCCATCAGAGACTGGGATTCGCCAACATAGGCTTTACCGTAAATCTTTGGGCGAGCGATCGTCGCCCTAGCTCCGTCTCCCTCTCCGTAATCACTGAATGGGCTGAGCTTCACTCGTTTTGTACTCCGCAAATCCGAGAAGCTAGCTTCAGAAACGGGCGAGAGACGTCGTTCTGAGCGTGTTCCAGCCGTCGTTCCAGACGGCGTGTTCACAGCGATCGAGTCGGCCAGAGCGGAGAGATGGTCGCGCGTGAACGTGTCATACTGGAACTGGAACAGCCGTAGGCGGGGGTCCGTTAATGGCGCGATCGCGTTGGACGCTGGGACCGCTGGGACGGGCGTGCTCTGAGCTTGCGGTGAAGGTAGTTTGGATCGGGGAACGGGGGTGGGGGCAAGAGAGCTGGATTTGGGCGCGGCAAACGTGAACTTGCAGTCCATGTTGGCCTTCCGTCCGTGAAACGCGACCATGTCCGGCAGATCTGTCTCCAGGATTTCATCGCTGGGTGTGGATGTTACAGTTGCGGGTGGCACTGGTGTCGAAGCGATAGGTGGTGTTGGGGGCTCAAACATTCGCTCGAGAGGCAGTGGACTGAAAAAGTCCTTCATGATCCCGGCCCGCCCTCGGCCTGGAGTCTTAGGAAGCATAGGAACCTTGGGCACATCTTCGCGAACGAGGAATGTGCCAACAGCATGGAAAGGAGGGGACTGAGAATTGTCGTTGTCGTTTTCGATGTCATTAGTCTGTATGCTGCTGGGTAGTGGCGCTGTGAGGGAGATGGACCTAGTTCCGTAGGTCAAGTTATGGGCGTCGTCGTCGTCGCTTAGTTCGTCCTCTGGGCTACTGTCCGGCCACTCATCCTCCAATTCCTGAGTCTGCCATCCCGGAACAGCCTTCTGTTCTTCCGTCATTCCCAGCACTTCGGAGATTCGGGCGACGGTTGTTCAGTAAGTAACGCAGCGAGAGGTTAATGTTGAGAAGTGGTTGATTGGACACGTGATTGCATCACGATCATGTGGCGGTACTCTCCTATGATCCGTTTCGTCTCTCTATATGGTCAACGAAGGTACGTCGCGCTCAAGGGATAACGAGTTGTTTCCTTCCACTGATGACCCGCACCGCATCCTTCCGCGTGTCGTGTTCGCCGCAATCATATTCGCAGTCATGTGTAAAGCACGTGATGAAGACTGTCAAATCTTATCTTCTTTCGTTTCTTTATCGACCCCTCACCACCTACTGGTGATCCCCTTTCGTGTTCAATCAAGGCAACCGCAAGCCCTGGTCCAATCAAACAGAAACGAAAATCACACCAATGAATTTCTGAACTAGCCTTTTGATAGTCATCTCTTGCATAGCCCACCCAAACGATCGAGGCTATCTTTGGGACCACTCACATTGGGGGGTCGTTTCACAGTTCGATACTCGAGTTCGTTTCACAGCCACCGGAATAAGGGTATGGATCTCCCCGTGAGTTCCAAAGACAGCTCACAGAGAGAAGTTGTCCGAGTGCTGATCTTTCCCTGTGGCAAACTCGATTTGCACACTCTCGCTGGATACGCCCAATCTCTTATTGATAGCGCCGCTGCATCATCTCACACTGTGCTCATGGTAGCCATCGAGCCAAAACGCGAACCGCGGACCGACAGTGCACACTATTCGGATGAAGCAGGTTTTGGTCCTGCAGATGCGTTTAGCCCCTCGCACTCCGACCCATCTATGGTTGCCGTTTCTCGCAATCGCCGGAGGCTCTGGACCTTACGTGGGGCGTCCGGACTGAGCTTCATTCGTAGCATTCAGGCACATCCTCCACCCCCTGTGCTCATCTATCTGATCCCAAGCCAGTCACGGTATTCGCTCGTCTATTCGTCTGTCCCCAAGGCTTTGCTGTGGATCAGCTTCGGAGATGTCAGCGCCAGCGGATTCACGCGGATCTGTTGTTCTTAACTGCCCTCTGTGACATCTTCGATGACCTAAATGGCCGAGCGCGCGTAGGTTCTCTTTCTCATGGTCTTTGACCACAGTCCATTTCGCGATCAGCATCAGTCCGTCAGCACATGCAGATGCATTGTTTACAGTCCGGAGGCGATGCCGAGTCCATGAACAAGAGGCACGAAGCACTCTTCAATGACAATCAAAAGTCGAACTCTAAGCCAGATGGAGCAGGACAAGGCGGGCCCGTCGAAGGATCTACAGATCATTGATAGTATCCAACAAAAGCACATTTTCAGTCTGTCAGTTTCCTTCAACGCCGTGGACATGTGCGCCGGAAAATCTCTGAAATTCTTCGCCGCATTGCAAAAGAAGGACAGGAATGTTATATGCAGTTTGATTAATTCAGGACCCGTCACGGATACTCGAGTATTGCATCGCGCCATCAGTCTCGAGCATATGCAGAGAAGTTGCCCCGCAATCCGGGATCGACACCGGCTCATTCATCCCCGAATTCCGAGACCGGCGACTTGAATTACTCCAGGAGAATAGGCCAGGCCTTATCTGTACCTGAATGCCGAGCTGCCGTTGACCAAGAGATCTCACACAAGTATTATGACAAAATGCGCATTGTGCAACCGACAGAGTGCTTGAAACCACCCAAACTCATGTGTCTGATCGAAATAGCTGCGATGTTTCTTTGCGTCAAGCACCCCATCGCAGTGGCTGGGCGATGTGGGTCCCCTGTAGACTGCAATTCCGCCGCTGGTCGCAGCTGCCCGGGGTTGTCCAATTTCATCAAGCGCGATTGTTCTGGTCGTCAAATCACGGCCAACAGCGGGCTGTAGATGCCTATCACTGCTGGACTTCCACTACCACTTTCCCACCTTCATCCTCCAAGATGCATATGATCATCAAACAAGGAGATCCTTCATCCAGGTTCTAACGGCTCCCGGATTTTCCATCGCTTAACGTCATCTCTACACGCAGAGCCCCCAGTGTCCTTCCCGAGTGATGAACCGCAAAGATTAATGCATTTCTGAAGTCTGCTGGTACGAGCCACCATGCATATTGTCGACACTGCTGTCCGCGGAGACTGCATCTGAACTCCTTGTATCAGCGCCGACAATCCACCGCCTCGTAATAATACTCGAGAACATCTGCGAGGTCCCACCCTAGTCAAGGGGCATTGATTGCCATGAGATCCTGCCACTATCGCTCGCAATGACCCAGTTCGAGACGGTTCATGATGTCGAGATGCCATTGATCACGGACGAGGCGCGCATCGCCCTTCGAGCGGCCGACGGCTTACGACCTCACCCTTCTCGTAAATAGGCGAAAAGGACGCTTAATCGGTGCTGCAGGGCTCAGGTCCTCAGTCTGCAGATTGTAATCACCCAATTATGAGAGAAAGGAAACTTTGGCGTTTTCCAATGAGCCCCGCCGGCGTTGATGTGTTTCACAGGGTGTAGTGTATGTGCGCGATCAAGATGCAGATTGTTCCGATGGAGGCCTGGAGGTGATTACTGATTACTGGAGCCCAGGTTGGACTCTCTCCGTCCGTGGCTTAGCCGAGCAAGCAACACATGACACACGGGGCCCGAGCAAGCTTGAGTCTGGCCGCTGAGGCAGTGTCGGGCAAGGCACGACCCAGGCGCAGACCTGCGAGGTCCTTTTCTGACGGTTGGGGCCGTACTTATGCAATGCGAACCATGTCATAAGACCTGATTACAGACTCAAACGATTCATTTTCTATCTATGCGTTACAAGGTGGTTGTGTGTGGTGATGCTCTAAGTGTGATATGCCAATGCTGATGATGCGATGTCAAAAAGAGGTGGATTTAAAAGACGAAGGAGAGTGCCGAGTGGGCGAGGGAAATCACAAGTTTCTGCCCTTTTTGTTGCCTGGTCTAAGCGACAAGAACGTCGCGCTTGATTGATCTATGGATGCGATGAAGTAAACTGCATGTCGTCAGCTCCAAAGTCGCAAAACGATTCGAGCCTTACTCACTGCTGATGACGATAACGAGAAGTGTTCATTTGGCTTGAAGGTCGCCGCTTCGGAAGGAATGGTAAACGACAGGCCGGAACCGGCTCTCCAGTCTCCGCCGCAGGAAATTAGCGAAGGAGTCTTCATCCTGCCAGCCATGATGCGACGTCGAGGACGAGCGACGCAGCGGGGCAGGCCGGTGTCTCCGAGAACCGCGAGTCTCCGGCTGCGATGAGCGCCCGTCTTTGGAAGACACGTTCTTCGTTTGCCATTCAGAGTGTCGCTGAGATGCAACAGAGTCGGAGGGGCAAAACGCGGAGTCAGAGTGGGGATTTTCACGCGGTTCTCGTTCGGAAGGGCTGGGACTAGGCTCGGGAGTGAAACCGGCGATGCGATGCACGGGAACCGCACGGATGGCATGAGAAGGGTCCGAGGGCAGGTGTGGTCGTGCCCCGTCACAGTTGTGAGAAGGCGGTGTCTCTATTTTCCGATGAATGACCTGATGAGCGATAGGAATAGGTGCCAAGACCTGGCTCGCGAGGGGAAGGGCGAGGTCTGCGTGTCCTGCGTGACGGGAAGAGACGCGAGGAAAGGTATAGAGAAGGGCACCCGAATCTTCCTGGGGACTTCGTGTGAGAGTGAGACCGTATGTGTAGTTTGTATTCAGTGCCGAGTCCCACGAGGCCAATTCCAGCTCGAAAATGAGCTCAGGCGACAGAGGACGTTCGGAAGATCCAGTGTTACGGGTGCCTGCTTGCATCTCGTCGGTGCGCCTCGGAATCTCGATTGGAGACGACGCCCGCACGAAGTTCGGATGGAAGAAGAACGACTCGGTGCTTGGACTGTGCATCGTTGAGAGCTGCAGAGGGCGATAATGAACAAAGAGAGACTAAAAGCGTGGGTCCATACTGACTTGAGCCGAGCACTTATACCTCTGCTCCTTCAGACGCCACTCCGACTAGGCACCGGTGGAGTGCGTGGTCCACAGGTGCGGAAACGAATGAAAGAGGTGCCTAAGAAAGGGCGTTGTCCTCACGTAGCAGGAGGAGATGCAGTGCGCTTGGAGACGAAGGTTGGCACGAAAAGTCACACCAGTGCCACTTGCAGATAGATGCCAGATGGGGACTAGGCGCCTGAAGGGCGATGAACACGGGCTAATGGCGAGTTGGATGGTAAAGGGAAGTGTAGAAGAAAGAGAACGACCCAGGGTGTGGCCGCGGGTACGTCGTCGTTATAAAGAGACAGAACAATGGGAGAACAAGGCCTGGATCTTACAGGTGACATCCGATTCGGTGTGAATCATTCGCTTCCTTTCGTGGATCGGGTGAGTTTGGCAGGTGATGTGACATCACCCCGCGTTTTGCTTCCGTCTATTGTCAAACTTCCCCGTGGTAGAGTCAAATCTCGGCTCGCCTCGACGCACGAGTCAGCCTTATTGCCTCTCACACTTTATGCTTCATGGCGGAGAAAGCTATACTGGATCCTTCCGGCCTCCCACCGATCGTGTTTATTATGGCGCGGTTTGCAGATCCTGACACCGAGCATGATGCTCCAGACGCCCTCCCGAGACTGACGGGAGTGGACGTGGAACTTATTCGGGGAATGCTGCTTAAATTTGCTGGAAAGAACGATGGGCCCTTGCACCCTGGCATGTTGCGTAGGAACGCGCCGGATAGTGTGATCAGGTGAAAAGCGAGAGGGAAAATGGACGCGTCTGAAATTACTTTAGTCCCTCGATCGAACCTGCGAAGGAGTTCGCAACCGTCCTCCTAGTCCCCGTCTCCCTCGGGTCAACCGTGTGTACTACAAAGAAGTCTCCGACCTCTCAATCAAGTCACAATATTTTATTGAGGACTTCGCAACGCCTTGCGACCCTTCGAGCCAACTTATTGCAACGCTGCTCCAAACGATGGGCTGGCCTTCTCGTCTCATCACACGCATTTTCTTATGTGATAGATGTATCATTCGAAAAGTACATTTCAGGTCGGCGCCTTCTATGCCCGAACAAGCAAGCCAACGGTTGCGAGAGCTCTAGCTCTAACTTGTGAGTAGACTACGAACGACGTCGGTCATACCCAAATGGAAGATCCATCCATCAATTTTCGGTTATTGCCGAGAATGATGTCATCCCCCCGACATACTTAACTTGCTCCAAACCTCTTACGATTACCATTTGAACTATCAACATGCCTTTCTCCGTCAATGTACATCACCTTTCGTAACCTTCTTCGTGTTCTCACTCATTGGCGCTTCAGGTATCAGACATCTCATCCTCCACGACGGAAACTCACCTTCAGGAGTTCTTCGCGTACGTTCACAACCTCTGATCTCACGCTTGCGCTCACAATGCGTGTTTCAGGTTCTGTGGAAAGTATGTGCTAGATCTCCCCAGATTCCCGACCCACCCTCATAACTCCAATAGGATCGAATCCATCGATTTCAAGCCACCTACGGCTGTGATCCATTTCGAGAAGTCCTCCGCAGCCAAGACGGCCCTTATGGTGACGTCTCAAACCATGCTGTCTCCTGCCCCAATTATTAATCCGATCTTTTCCGGACTTGCAGCTGAACGGTGGTACTCTGGATGGTGCTGAGCTCCGAGTCGAGTCGGAGGTTGAGCACCACGACGAGGAGCACACGGGTGAACCAATCCATCACATTGAGCAGTCAGATAAGCCTCGGGCTGGAAGTGCGTGACGAATAGTCGTGGTTGGTGGAGTTAGCTCATCGATGACCAGTTGCTGCGGAATACCTCGCTAAAGGATACACCCTTTCCGACACCATTTTGAATCGCGCCATCGAGATCGACAGTACGTGCCTACTCGTGTTTGCGGTGTTGAATGCATCCTGACCGACATCGCTTGATTGTAGCCAAGCAAGGCATCTCTAAGCGCTTCCTTTCTTATCTCACGCATCTCGACACGACGGTCGGCGCGAAGGCTCTTGGAGCAGACAAGACGATCTCGGGCAAAGTGACAGAGACACTGACGTCCGCCACGCAGCAGGCCAAGGCCCTGGATGAGCAGAAGGGCTATTCCAAGACCGCTGGCGACGTGCGTCCACCGTGCAATCCAAAAATTCCGCTGACCATCCCGTTTGCAGTACTACATTAAGGCGCTTGCCTCGCCTTTTGGCGCAAAGGTCAAAGCCTTTTACACTCAAACTGCCAAACAGGCGTTGGACATCCATGAAGAGGCGAAGCGCATTTCTGCCCAGCAGAAGGCTGAGGCAACCCCGGCTCCTGCCGAACATGCGAAGACAGCGTAAAGAACAATTGTTTCTGTACCGGAGGTTACTTGTACAATCGATCAAGATATTTGTACCTTAGTCCTAAATTGTGAATATGTTTGAAGTTGTGGACATGGGCATGACTGTGATGGTCCCTCAGTCGATGAAACGGCCGGACAACAGAATCACAGCGGCGGTGACGACGGCATGCAAAATTTGTGAATCAATACTGCCTGGAGTCAGATCGACAAAGGTGCCGTTCCCACCGTGCCGAATTCGACCAGCGAAAACAGGATAAGGTTGATCCACGAGATACATCTTTCACTTTGGATCAGCACTGAGTAGCAAAGGGCGAAAATGGTATCACGTTGACATGTTCACCCTCTGGCACCCAGCGATACTTGCGTCCTTGGAAAGTCATTGATCGACTACCGGGACATTCGGTTAGCTACTTAAAATGAAGACTAGAGACAAGCCTCATACCTCAAATCCGGAGACAGAGACAACCAGCGCCGGGCTTCGACTGAGGGCAACGTGTTGGGTAATTCCACTCGGGGAAATCTGCCGCGCCAGTCGATTGTGCCAACTATCGCGTATGATCCATTCTGCAGGACAGAATACGAGTCGTTGCTCAAGATCCGGAGCACAGTCGTCGCCCGGGGTCTCTGATGATCCAGTTCAAGGGCTTGCTGTCATCGGTCGATAGAAACATGTACTCGACGAGCGAGCTGGGGTGCGGAATCGACCAAGGGTAGCTTTGCTGGAAAGGGTTCATGAGTGAATGGGATGCGAGTCATGAGATGGAGAGCAGCTCTTAAATACTCTCTGAGTGACCAGACTATGCCATCTCAAATAGAGGGTACTCTTTGAATTTCGACCTCCGCTCGAGTCAAATCACTGGGATCTCGGGAGGCATGCCTGCTTCGGAGCGTTTTGATGGGATAAATCGTTTGGTTACAAGGCGATCTTGAAGCCTCAAGATTGAGGCGTGATGGATTGCATAGAACGGCGCCCTGCGACGCGTTGGTTAGGAATAACAGATGCTTCCGGTTGGAAAGAGGCTGGTCCTGTGTCGATCGAAGTCCCCAACTGTATTGATCGCAATGCCCAACTGTGTCGATTCGAGGTCCTCAGAAGCACTTTCATCTTTGAGTAATGCGCATCGGACTTGATTTTGTTCAGGGAAAGGCGATGTCCATCATCTGTGAGGTGGGTTGGGCCCGATCGCCGGGCTGCACAAGTCGTTTGTATAACAGGAACACCGCCTGATTCCTATGCCCATTTATATTGCTGTGGTCTTTGACGTAAAGCAGATGGAAGACGGCCTCCAAGTAGCCCACTTGCTCCGAGTGCACAGGCTGGCCAGCAGAGAACAATGGTTGGCATATCGAACAGATCTAATGAGGCGGCGGAAGAGCAACTCAATCGGTGCTCTGAGTCGTCTGCCAACAGTTTCATATGTCTGAGTTGGATGCGATCCTCTGAGTCAACCCATGAGAGCCAGAGAGCTAGGAGGCCAGATGAGGCAGACGAACAAACGACAGTCAAATATCGGACTAGAAGTGGTACGAGTGGATGGGCTCGGACTGCCGAGAGGCCCGAGACAGTGGTCTTGCGTCTGCGCAACGAGACGGAGAGTGGAAGACTACCAACTTCACGCTATCAGATTTGTCATGGTAGTTAACGTCATCAACTTGTTCCTCTTCACGTGCGTCGATGGTCCACAGCTCTATTAGTATCATCCGGCCCCAGTGCCTCTCGCCCGGTGAAGAGATCCCCGACTCGCATAATAACCGCTGCGTCCCCGAGAAATGGGGGAATCTTTGGATCACGGTGCCGCATGTTTGTAGGCCATCTCGGTCACTTGAGCACGAGCCAAGAACGGGCGCTCGAAGCCTTCAAGACTATTCTCGCGGATGCCAAACTCTATGACCCTGCAAACCCCAAACTCGATGATCCGACATTGCTGTGCGTGAGAGCCTAGTAGATGCTTCGGGCGCCACACCTTAGAACATTGAATGCAGACGATTCCTCCGAGCACGCAGCTGGGACCCTAAAGCGGCTTTAAAGCAGTTTTCGGACGCCAGGAGTGGAGAAAGCAGCACGATGTCGACAATCTCTTCTCTTCATTCGATACTGCCGAATTGAGGACACAGACAGAATTTTTATCCGCGCTGGACGGGGAGGCGAGACAAGGTATCTAATATTTGCTCGGTCTGTTGAACGTGTTGGAAGTCTGACCTGTGAAGTAGAGTGGCTTGCCAATATACGTATACCACCTTTCATCTATGAATTCAGGGGTCCAGAAGGAACTCAACGCGGTTGCTCCTGAGCGCCGTTACCAACGCATGTATGTGATCCCAGTCAGGCCCACTTTTACACTTCTCAACTGATGGCACAGTGTTGTTCTTTATGAATGCATGGTGGGGTTTATACTGCCCCTATGCAGTGCGCTCCCGCACGGAACAGACACTCCAATCACTTGCGTAATGACCATCATCGACTTGAGCCAGGTCTCACTGGGATCCATGTGGAGTTTGCGCAGTCATCTGGCCGAGTCGTCAAAGCTTGCGACAGCGAACTATCCAGAGACGTTTGGTACCATTGCAGTTGTCAATGCGCCCTCGTTCTTCCCGACCATCTGGAATTGGATCAAGGTACTGTGGCGTCGTTTTCTCTCAACACTTGCGTGCTCACCTTTCCCTCGAGGGCTGGTTCGACCCGGGAACCCGCAACAAGATCCATATCCTGGGCAAAGATCCAAGCGAAACCCTGCTGCAGCTTATCGATGCGCAGAATCTCCCCAAGCAGTACGGTGGCTCGCTGGAATGGGATTTTTCATGCGATCCAAACCTGGACGAAGCTGAGATCGCCCTCGTCGGAGAGATGCCCAAGGGACCGACTGTTTTTGTAGATGTGTTGTCACTAGACCGTAAAGTAGCGAGAAGTATCATCATGTAGAACTCATTGGGACAGTATCTCGCTTCGGGATGACGTCCTGATCACATTCTCAAACCATCATTTGACCATGTATCCCTGGCACGCTCTGATGCTCTCTCATCACTGTCGTCAACGAACTCG